CACTGTTGATTCTGCTGCCCCTGCCGCTAACAGAACCACCTCTTTGCACCCGCAAAGTTGGTGATACGCAAATAGCCTATAGCCCTACCGCTGCTTCAATTGCCTCTTAACACAACGTCTCTGTTTTAGATACACCAATAGGAAAGTGATCTCTACCTCTCTTCTACCAACCAAAACATGTGTGAGTACACCCAATCCTGGCTGTATAGGAGATGTGAGGTGGTGTCGCAAGCTTTTCAGTCTCTGCTTTCCAGGAACACCGAAGGAGGGGGAATTGAACGGAGGTTGGACAAGCCAATCTACGGTATCCAATGCAGCTCTGCAATACATGGCCATATCCCTCGTAATCTACCCCTTTGGTGACTCAATAGGTACCCATAAGCATTTCCCTCTCAACTTTATTTAGCCCAAGGCGACACTGAATCTGGATTCTGGTCAACAATCTGGCAAACTACTGCTTGAGCTAGTGCGCTGAATCCAGAAACCCATATTAAAGAGCTTTGCCCAATCAAAAAATTACAGTCCCTCCTCCTGGCCTAGTACAGTCAGAAGATGTTCCCACACAATTTCCTTGGGTTTCTGCTTATATGAAATAGCAAATTCTTATGGTGCCGATCTTTATTTCCTAAACGTTTGGCTTCTAGGGTGTGCTGGGATCTGACTCTGATTATGATAGGCTGGGAGATGAGGAAGAAGGACCAACGCGTGGGGCCTGGAGAGACCTCACAAGTTATTTACCTCAAGTAAAGTAGCCAGCATGTCTCCAACAAACCACAGCCAATCTCATGGGACAAGGGAAGGGAGCTGCTTCTGCTGACAGGAGCGGTTGCATAGGATAAGGATTTGGAGTATTCAAACTCAACTCAACACATTCAAATGTCCTATTACAGTTCAGGAGGTCTCCTCCCTTCCAAATCAGTGTCCTAAAGTTCACTTAAAAGAGATAACAAAACATGAATTAGGCTTACACTGTCACCTTGGTAACCCATTAGATCAGATTCTGATTTGAGGTAACATCAACCCTGAGATCACAGAGATTTAAAAAAATTACCTTAGAGTAGTCGTGGAAGCTCTCTGGTTCTCTGAACTTTCTCGAACTGATAATGTTAAACCCTGGGCCTATCCCATTTCCTTGCTTTAATCTCTCCAGGACATCTCCATAGCTATCTTAATCCACAACCCTTGAAATTCCTCATTTTCATTCTAATGATTTATCGTAACAACCACTTTGCCAGACTGTATGTAGCCTTCTAAGAGGCATGTTGTAAGGAAGCCTTAAGACATCAGTGTACCATAAACTTTGAGAGTCCTATTTTCGGATAGTAACAGTATTGCCATTATCTTCAAAACGGACCAGGTCAGATCATCAATCCAATGTTTCCATCCTTGAGAGTCTGTTATCTTCAATCCCCTCTGGCAGGAGGAAACAAACCACTCTAGATTGGGGGTGGGGAGGAGCTCTTAAGAAAAAAAAGAGATTTCATACAGGGAAGAAGCTGTTGTAAAGGCTATAGAAAGAGGAGTCAGGAGCGGGAAAACAAACCACCATAATTGCAAGCTCAAGATCAAGAAGCATCTGTTGCTGTTGCCACTAGTCACTGGTCTGTCACTAGTGCAACCAATCCTCTCCTTACCTGTGAAACTGAACGCTGAGGCTGACTGCACTAACTGCCCCAACTTGCACTAGATACCCCCAAGACGGGTATCCGCAAACTTCCAGTCTCACTTGCATGCATCCAAATGGTAGAAACTTATCTATCACAAGAACCCTAGCTGCCCGAGGTCTGGAAAACAGAGATTTGAGTTACCAACTTCTAAAGAACAACAAAACCATTCTAAACCCAGTAGAGGGATCCCTGGGTGGCGCAGCGGTTTAGCGCCTGCCTTTGGCCCAGGGTGCGATCCTGGAGACCCGGGATCGAATCCCACGTCGGGCTCCCGGTGCATGGAGCCTGCTTCTCCATCTGCCTGTGTCTCTGCCTCTCTCTCTGTCATTCTGTGACTATCGTAAATAAATAAAAAAATAAAAAATAAAAATAAATAAATAAATAAATAAACCCAGTAGAGAAAGGGGAGGAGTCAACTTCACAAAATCTGCCTGGGTCTCAAGAGCTTGTAGTCTCTATTTAGCTGTACAAGCTCAGTCTTTCCAATTCCCCCCCTTCTTCCTGTTTCTCTGCCTGAGATGTCATCCTCATGATGTCAAAGGCTGGGGATGGCTGGGTTTTGCCATTTCTAGGATATTGTTACTGGCCACCTAGTTACTGGTGCCCAGCTGAGGTCTCGTGCCAAAGTGTGCAGTTCGTAAGCTGGAGGGCCATCACTCCTCTCTCTCTGAACTGAGATCTCATTATATTACTTTGCTACTTTTATTTTGAAGTCTTCTGTAATAGATGAGTTTTAAAACTAATGAAGCATGCTAAAGGAAAGAGAATATTTATTTTAAGATTTTTTTTACTGAAGTTCGATTTGCCAACATATAGTGTAACACCCAGTGCTCATCCCATCAAGTGCCCCCCTCGGTGCCCGTCACCCAGTTACCCCATCCCCCCACCCGCCTCCCCTTCCACTACCCTTTGTTCCTTTCCGAGAGTTAGGAGTCTCTCATGTTTTGTCACCCTCTCTAATTTTTCCCACTCATTTTCCCTCCTTTCCCTTATAATTCCTTTCACAATTTTTTATATTGAGTGAAACCATGTGATGATTGTCCTCCTCCGATTGACTTACTTCATTCAGCATGATACCCTCTAGTTCCATCCACGTCAAAGCGAATGGTGGGTATTCATCTCTTCTGATGGCTGAGTGATATTCCATTGTATATATAGACCACATCTTCTTTATCCACGCATCTGTCTAAGGGCATCAAGGTTCAGAAGGAGAATATTTTAAACACAATGTTTAAACAATCTTCTTTCCAATTTTTTGCATTTGGTGGGATTTCTTTATAAAAGGACGTCTAATTTTACAAGTTATATATAGCATTTGTGTTAGTATACCTTTCCTTTTCCAAAGATGATCTTCATGGAGGAGTTAATGAGCATGGAAAAATAAAAAAATAACCTGGAGAAGGGGGGAATTTTTTTTATAAATTTATTTTTTATCGGTGTTCAATTTGCCAACATGTAGAATAACACCCAGTGTTCATCCCATCAAGTGCCCCCCTCAGTGCTTGTCACCCAGTCACCCCCACCCCCCACCCACCTCCCCTTCCACCACCCCTAGTTCGTTTCCCAGAGTTAGGAGTCTCTCATGTTCTGTCTCCCTCCCTGATATTTCCCACTCATTTTTTTCTCCTTTCGAGAAGGGGGGAATTATTACAAATCATATTGCATCAGATATGAGCATATTCCCAGAAACTTACTTTTCAGTTTTGGGCAACTTGATACATTATGGGGACCATTCACCAATCCAGAGAATTTAGGAGTAACAAAGATTATATGGAAAAATATAATGAGTTGCATATTAAAAATATTGAATTTGAGATGCCTATAGTAAACTGATCACATAGTATTACAGTAGAAAAAGTGCAGGTTGAAGATATAATTTGGAAGTCCTCTGATAAGAGTTGGAACCATGGTTATGATAAAGACCATGCCACCAAATCCATGCCACTGAACAAAGTTGTAATGTCTGGATTTAAGTCTCAGATTTGAATTATACATCCATGGCAGAAATCATTTATAAAATTCATGCCAGATTTGGGGCCCCTGAGTGGCTCAGTAGGTTAAGCGCCTGCCTTTGGTTTGGTGGGCTATGTATGATCCAGGGTCCTGGGATGGAGCCCTGTTTGGGGCTTCCTGCTCAGCGGGGAGCCTCGTCCTCCCTCCCTCTCCTCCCTGCTCCTGCTCTCTCTCGCGCTAGCTCTGTCACTATCTCTGTTTCTCTCTTTCAAATAAATAAATAAAATCTTTTTTTAAAAAAATCAGTGCTAGATTTAATACAAGTTTTTAAAATCAGGATAAACTTTATAGTTTTTATCATCCGCTCATATGTTTATGCATCCTTAAAGAATCCTGACAACATTCTGAAAAAATTTTAGAACCTCTGGAAAGGATCACATCCATACTTTCCAGTAGGATGAAAGTTTGTACCATCTGCAAAGATCTCCAAAGAAGTTGTGCCTACATTCCCATTCATTGTCCATTCTATCACCTGATTGGCTTCATTGTCTCTTATGTTTAAAAATAACTAAAAGGTCATAAGGAATTTTGTGAAGAAGACTTATTTTCATTTTTTCTCCCTAACGAAAGACTTTTGCTATTGTGGGTTTTTTTTCAATGATACAGGCTTTTAATATCAAAATCAGGAAATATAGATGAGAAAATATGTAAGCGATCAGAAGATAATTCCCCTTAAAACCATCCATGACACCATGATGCCCTTAAAAAAAATGGAATGCAATCATGCTGGTCATGTTATTTTTTTTCTTCTTTTCTTTAACAATCATGACTGTCTATCCATGTTAACACACCTCCAACATCAGTTTAAATGATAGAAGATTAACCATAATATAATTAATATACTATGAACAGCGTGCTATATTCCAATACTTAAGAAAGTACTGTCTTTTAAAATGTGATTCAAACTCTACTTGCTGGGACCTGTGGGTGGCTCAGTGGTTGAGCCTCTGCCTTTGGCTCAAGTCATGATCCCGGGGTCCCGGATGGAGTCCCTCATCGGGCTCCCTGTGGGGAATGTGTCTCTGCCTCTTTCTGTGTGTCTTTCATGAATAAACAAACAAACAAACACTACTTGCTGAAGAATCACCTATAGTGCCCACAGTGGAGACTTGGAGACCCATCTCAGACCTATGTAATCAGGGCCTCTAGGTGGGGTGGGGGGGACCCAGAAATTCACATTTGTCAACAAACTCCCAGATGATTTTTATCTCACTAAGATTGAGACTGTCTTATTCACTTTAAAGAAAAGAGTTATTTTTCCCAACACACCAGAATCTTTCAGTTTTCTTGAACTTTTCTGCTCTCTGACTTTTATTTTAGGAGACAACAACGGATGGCCTTTGCAATTTGACAAGTATTTTGCCAATTACTACAGAATGACTTCCTCATATCCCTTTAAGGCACAAACATCTGAATGCTGTAAGTAATCAGTGGCACTGAGTCTCCTTTCCCATGAGTTCAAAGAAAATATCATGTTTTTAAAAGTTACATCCAACATATTTTTATTAAAAAGGTCAATTATAGTTTTCTAAAACAAACTCTATTAGACATGCAGCCTTAATTTGAGAATTTTATTTAAAAGTGACTCAGAGATCTTAAGTTTGAGAGCAATATATATCATGCCAGGTATTGTTGTGAACAGAATTAATGTCCCTCAGGGTTGCTATTTTATGGTGTTTTTTTTTTTCACAGTCATTATAGCCTCTGATACCAAGGAAACTGTAGAAACAGAAGAGCAGAGAAGCTGTTTGCATTTCAGTGTTTGCAAGTGAAAAATCTTCTGAGGTCTAAACTACTTTAGAACTACAAAAAAGCCTCATTAATTATAACCTGCTATGCTTAGTCACATACTGAGAACTTCTAAAAACACTGAAGGGGCTGTGGGAGGGTATAACCTCAGGACAGGCTGTGATATTTTAGAACAGGAAGATCTTGTAAATAGCTCCTTTTAAATAAATTTTGTTTATTGTAATAAATTATGCAAGTGTAAATTTGTGCTTTAGAGTTATCATTTTGATCCTAGCTTTACAAAACCTTGGTTAAATAGTGGGCGAGTGTGTGTGTGGGGGGGAATCCTTTACTATCATTTTTCCTTTATGTTCTATCACAAATAGTAAAGTATAGCTTTTTTTAAAAAATGTTTAATTTTTTATCTTCAGTATTCAAATGCGATTAATAAAAAAAAATACTAACAGGCCCCAATTTAAGGAAGCATGCATCCATTCTGTAAACCGACAAGCTACTCAGCACTGTCTCAGCCTCGCATTTTCTCACAGAGACCAAATTACCTGAGCATTGAAAGGCTGAAACCTTTTGGGAAAGCAAAAAGGTAACAGACATAATTCAACTGCTAATATCATACAAAGAAATTAATGGATTATGTCATGTTACTGCAAAACATAGATTTTTGTTGTTGTTTGATTAGTCTTTTCATGTCTTAAATTTTAATTGAATATTTTTATATCTCTTTATTCCCAAGTGGATTTTCAGCAGTTTATAATAGAAATATGACTACCAACAGATTTAAGTCATTAATAGAATATATAAGACAAAAATTCAACAGTGAATGGGAAAGAGAATGGGAAGAAAATTTATATAAGGAAATCCTCACTGAGAAGTTCAATAACTGTCCAAAGCTTAGTTCTGAATTTTGTAGTAATCAGGCTAAAGAAGGAAAATAATGAGTAGCAAAACTTTTATAGCCTGGCTTGTAGAGCAAAAACAAACAAATGGGGGGGGGACAGATCAAGTCAGTAAAAGAAATAACTTTTTGCCTAATCCTGAACTTTGGGAGAAATGTGTCCTAAGTATAACTTCATAGGAAGTTTACATGGCTAACTTCTATATCATTTATACAGTAAATGATATATCAAAAAAAGATTAACGGTTTTTATTAAAGAACAAATATATAATTTTAAATTAGAGTTCTTTAAAGAGTGCAGGAAGTAGTGGTGATCAATAATTATTTGTCTTTTTCAGGCATAAAAGCAGTATAAAACAAAATGGAAAATATAGTGTAAAACTTGGGGGTGAAACTTAAAGTTCCTATTGTACCACTTTATTGAAATCAAATTAGTATAAGAATTTATTGGAAATTAAACCGAGAATGGTGTATAATAATTCTTGGTTGGGTGAAAGAATGTGAGAAATTCACATTTATAAAGTCACCTCTCAAGAACAATATCATGGAAAATAAATCATTAACCAATATATTTTTAAAGTTTAAATTTGAGGGATATGGAAAGTATAGAAATTTAGAAAGAATTGTTTACTCAACCATAATTTCACCATTCAGAGGCTACCAGCATTAACTTGCTGGTACGTTTCTTTGTCTTTTTTAACATTTTTAAAATTTCCTGTACACACCATTTTTATCATGTTTTCACTTAGCATTTTAGCATAATCAGGTATCCATGCCGTTAAAAGCTCTTTGAATATACTATATATGTTTAAGTGTCATAATTTGCTTAATCATTCTTCTGATGTTGGATATTTAGGTGTTATTTTTTCATTTTTCCCCATGACAGGTGACCCTGTAATAAACATATATGAATTATCCTAGCTCCATCAATATAAAAAGAAAAAAGATGCTGGAAGTAATGCTAATTTCACTCCCTCCATTTTTACCCCTCCTAGTCTCACACTCAAAACCTTCATCCTCTCTCCCAACCCACACCCTTCCTTCCCCACAACACTCATGTTAGACGTGGCTTTAACTTGGAGACAGAATCAGTTTTCAGAGAGCCATAGCCAAAATGGTTACTTACAACCATAAAACTGTTTAAAAGTTCTTGGCGGAGGCTCTGTTTACTAAAAACACAAAACTAAGTTATGATTTTGATCTCTTGTAACCCTGTAAAATAGTCTGTAGAGTTATTTGAGAGGAGAGGAGGAACACCTGTCCCCTCATAGCTGAGCAAAAGGATATTTACTAGGTCAAAGTCTGTAGCCAATCGTGCTGGTTAGTAGTCATCCACCAGCTTTGTCATAGAAATCTCTACTTTGCCGTTAAGAGAATTTTCTGCTCTCTGAAAGCTTTACTGTAAAGATCAAAAACTAGAAACCTACAAACAAAAAATTCTCATAGAAAGTTTTGTTTGTTCTGTGATATTTTAAAATATTTTGAGTTCTCTATTATCATTTTTAATAGATGAGTATATATACAACATTGTATTTCTGGCTTCTTTGAGAAAGTTGGTTGACTTGGTTACACATGTTCCTATCCTAATGTGGCAACAGTTAGGAGAAGCTCTTCCACTGGGACATAGGGACAAGGCCTACACCTATTTTGTGTCAGTCCTCCATAGACATATGAGTCTGTAACCTCAGCTATACAGGTTAGAGTTTCAAAATAAATGTAGATGGGAAGCACTCCTCATGGTTCTCGTGAATCAACCATTTCCCAGGAAGCCAGGAATCAGACTATATTACCCTGAATAACAATCCTATTCTATTACTGAGCTATATAGGAACACATCATTACCAATCTCTAAGAGACCTTAGAACAATGGGATCACATCTGTAAGACTATCACTACAGCCCCACAAGATGGCCAAAGGCACACATCCAATTCTCCCTCTTTCCAAAACTAGCAGTGAGAATAGAATGGCTGGCTATGCATAAAAAAAGTTCAGTCCCGTAAATGACATTTTAGGCATCCTTACATCCCTACATAAGCAAAAGATCATTTTAAAAGAAATCCTTTAACAAACTCCTGAATTTTCCAGAAAAAAAAAAAATTCTACCAACACTATAGCCCACACTTAGTTCTTTCTCCCTAGTTAAAAATGACTTAGCCTCTCATTAAGGGTTTGACTATGCCATTAATAAATACTTTATTGTTAAATAGCAGCTTTAATATGGACATTAAAGCCCATCACACACTATCATGTCACCCCTGGACATAACCACTCTCCTCGAGTGAGTAAAAGCAGATGACTACATTGATTTTGCAACAAATGGAGAACAGTCTGCTATTTACAAAAATGCATGGGCTGGTAAATGTGTGTGTGTTCTTAATGTTGTAGCATCATTAACATTAAAAGCAAACTTTGTGAACTTAAGCATTGTCCATATTGATTAGGTACAACATACTTTTGTACTAAATAATTTTCTCATAGCTTTTCATTTCTTTCTTTTCATTACCCTCCTCTTCCTGGTCCTTCACTATCCCCATTCCTTACGACTTCTCCTTATTCAGTGGTCGGTTCTGTGCCCATGCAATGTCTTTGCCGAGGTTTAGAGGTTGACTGTGATGAGACCAATTTACGAGCTGTTCCATCAGTTTCTTCAAATGTGACTCTAATGTAAGTAGAAAAGAATGGCTTCATCCTGACGGCCAGAATAGCGCCTGTAAAATTATAATTAAGGCCTTGTCATTATTAATGCATTTTTATTCAAAGATGATGTCATTGTTCTCGGTCAGTTATGATTGCTGCTATTTATTCTACATTTATTAAATGCTAGGCCCCACTCTAAATTATTCAATATATTAATCTATTTAGTCCCTGATAATAATCCTATGGAGTATTTAGATACATTAATATATTTAGACCCTCATAATAATCCTATGACGTATTTAGTATCGCCATATTTTATCTAAACAAAAGATGTCATCATTTATGTGCTAAAGAAAAAGGCTGCCAGTTAAACTATTATATAGAGTTTTCTTAGTATAAGAATTGAAAGAGCTCTATTAGACTTTGTTGGAAACACTCTTATCTATAAATTAAAAAAAAAAAAAAAGAAAACAAGTGAAATAAACTGGTAAAATATTCCCAGAACTTCACATTTAAAATCTAACTCTTCTGAATCACATTGACTCAGATATATTGATTTTTTCCCAAATAACTCAAACTTATATATATAAAAGAAAATTATCCTCATAGTAAGTGGTTTGTTGATCTAGTACTAATTTGAATTCAACAAACTTTAGCAACACAGTCACACACATATGGCTGAAACTTTTCAAAAGAAATCAGTGGAGGATAGATACTTTAATCCAATGTTTTTGCTGAGTGTTTTGTTTCATCCAGATGTTTAAGTGCCTTATGGCTGACTTTTGAGTATATGAAGACAAAACAGGAGTAATTCTTAAGTTTACAAATATGGGCAAGTCCTGCTTTTGCCAACCCAAACCACGTAACACAGCAACTCAATTCCTTGAAATAGGAGTTGGAGAGGACTAGAGCTCAGAGTTCCTGTAGACGATGGTACCATTAAATTAACAGAATCAATTGATGGTGACCTGAAGAGTTTATCCAAATTGGTAATGAGCTAAGAACATCAGGTAGGTTAAACCACACACAAAGGCTTGTTTTCCAAAGAAGATGACAATCCCACCTGAACTAAGGCTAGCATTCTATCATATCCTCAGGTCACCGTAGCTCTTTGTCATAGTAATTAGTCAACAGAAAACAATAATAATATTTTACTAGAATAAAATAATAATCTGAGATTCTGTGGAGAGTTTCCATGATTTAAATCCTGACTGGACCTGATCTGTATAAAAATTGAAATGATTTCATTCTATTTTCAAAGAGAAACATTTATCACCCCCATCACTTGTATCAAATTACCAGAAAATCAAAGAATACCCTGATGCTGCCAGTCTCATTTTTCACTTTCTTACAAGTAAGAATTGAATCCATTCTCCCACAACCTAACTAACCTTTGCATAAGAAAGGAAGAGAGGGAGAGAACTGGAAGTTTGCAAGAAGATAGACAATGACTAACCAAAGAGCACATGCCCCTAAAGAATGCCTGAAAGCATTCTGATTCAGATTAAAATAAAAAACTGTTCTGGCTCAATACATTTATACATACATTCATACAGCCACTCAAAAGCCATACAGTGTACAGTCCTTTGGGCCACCGACTTTCAGCCCACGGTATAGAGGAAAAAACGGGATGGGACAGCTCCTCATGAAGACAGGCTACAGGAAAGCAAGGAGAAGGAAGGATCCAAGATGACTTCAGGGTTTCCATCCTGAGTAATACAGTGATGGGAGAATGGGGAGACTTGGTGACAGTAAGTGGGTAAGATTAAGACTGCAATTTTAGATGGCTTTTTCAATTTGAGATTAACAGGTCACTCAACAGAAATTCTCAACAGGCATTTGAAGACGTAGTAATGAAGCTCAGGAGTTTATGTTTATAACACCTTATTTTTTGTTAAAAAATAGCAGCTTCTTGTGCTTTGGGTTGAGCAGCTTGATTCAAGTTGTCCATTTCTATTTTTCTCTGCAGAATTCCAACTCACCAACACACCTTGCCCTTATCTTCATTCAATTCCATAGAAAAAAGGAACCATAGGCTTAACAGCAAATATATTAAAAGAGTAAATATCAATTTTTATCACTGAGTTCCTGCCATATTTTGAATTGGAACTCTCATAGAGAAATACTGGAAATGGAATAGATCATATATAAGTATCAAAGAAACCAATAATCCAAGTAATATTTATTGAAGTTGGGATTTTTAAGACATTTCTCATAAATGCAATTGAACAAGAGAAACAGACAATATGATTATTTATGCATCGTTCTGGCTTCCTAAACATTAGTTTTGACTGTGTGAGGGCTGCCTATAACATCCTAGAACTTAATCGCTAAACTACATAACCTAATTATCAGAACTTTCTTTATCAAAACTACAGCTAGCTTTGACAATAATAATTAAGATAGTTTCTCTCTCTCACACACACTTCACATTGTAAAGAGTCAGAATATTATATTTTAAAACACAAGAATTTATCATAGTAAAAAGGTTTTTGGTTTGTCCTACTCAGTGAGAATAACAACACTTACTTTTTTCTATTTCAACAGGATATCACAAAAATATTGAGAATGCGATTTGTAAAAATATTTGACTTCATTTAGAAAGAAGTAGCCTTTAAACCCTAGGCACCATTAATAAAAAAACAACTTTCTAAGAAACATTATTTAGGAGTCCTTAAATAAGCTTTCCTTCCCTCCAGAGTAACCTTCCCACTCCGGTGCAATTAGCCTCTTGCTCTTGGATTCTCTCATAGATCCTCACCTGTGTCTCTTTGAAGCACATCAAACATTTCTCCTTCTACTATAGTGACTGTGGTCCTGATCTTCTCTACCAGAAAAAGGGAAATGCCATAAGCTCAACGGGGGCTTAAAACTTGGTTTTTCTATATAATCTCCAAAATTCCCATAAGAGTATAGTAAACTCTAAACACTGTCTTTGAATTGAATTTACAAGAAAATAAATAAAAATAAAACAAGATGATGGCCTTTTTAGCCCTGGGCTATAAAACTGAAGTTATCGTCAAAGGAAACTCTCTATTTATAGATAAAATATGTTATTTGTCACCCAAATGGAGTATAAGCTTCTTAAGAGCAATGATATTATCCTTTTTTACAAAGTGCAAATGGAAGACATTCAACATATGTTGAGAAAATGAATGAATGCATGAATGAACACATTTTTAAAAACACACTAAGCTTTCATCAAATTTTTAAGTCAAATTCAAATATTCGACAGTTTATTTTTATACAACACAAACGTGTAAACAACATGTAAAGCAAAACTGAAGAGCCAAGCCACGTGAGAATAACGAGGAAAGCAGGAATTCTCAATTAGCTAACATAAGGAATGAAAGACCCATTTAGTGATAGACTGGCAGCCTAGAACAATTTCATGAGAGAGTTAGTAGTTAATCAACCTTTGGCATTCATTCATTAAAAAAACCACTAAGTGACTATTATGTATAGTGTTTAAGGACAGTGTTTCTTAAGCTTTTTTTCTTTTCATTATTACCCCCCCCAAGCCCTTTTAGACTTTTTTTCTATTTGTCCCCTCCTGTGAAATTTTAATATTACAAACATACTGTATATCTGTTTATGTATACCTGTTCTTCATCCACTTAAAAAAGTAAGATTTTTTTCCCCTCCTTGAGAACCAGTTTTCACACCTTGGAGGAACAGCATCCCTATGGAGAATACATGGTCTCCCAGACTCTAGAACAGCATTTTTCAAATTAGATTCCAAAACTGTGTCCTGAGGAGTCTGAGAAACCATTTTGCCCTAAGAAGTTTTCATTCTCAGGTTTAAGCAACAATGGTCCCAAACCAACATAACAACTAAGATCGGTAGTGCCTACTGTGTGACACTGTCGATTGTGTGTGACACTGTCAACTATGTGACATTGTGGTAACTGAGTCCTCTTTGCCCATTAAGTATTTCCAAGTGTTTATTCCACAGCAGACAACCTCCAGACAATGTAGTCTATTGCTTACTTAACAAGGAGCATCTTCTCCATCATATTATATAAAGATAGTGCCAAGTGCATCATATTATTACAGGTCATCTAGTACAAATCGATGCTTTCACATCAGTTAAAGAGACTGACAAGGAAAGATTAGAAAGATGATGTATGTGGTTCGTGCAAGGGACTCCAGCTGCAATGGTTTGGATGTTGTTCTGTTTGGTTTGGTTTTTGGTTCTTTAATTTTGTTCCTATTACCTTGCATTGCTTTTCTTCAAAAAAAAAAAAAATCAAATGTTTAGATCCTTTCCAGTATAACCACAATTATGTGGACCTGGTTTGTGTCAAGCTGCGTATCAAATTGTGACTCGAGGGAAAATCCTTCTATGCAATTTACTAGAAATTGAAATGAAATCATTTATTGAATAAAGACAGTTCAATTGTACTTACCAATTAACAGTTTCCTTCATAATTAATTTTAAGAGGAAGTAAAGGTAGTGGGATGTGAGCAATGAAATACTGAAAAATATAAAATTACTTAGGTTCTTGAATGTGCTTTAAACAGAAAACACTTTTTATTGTCACTTCAAAACTGAGATATTTTCTAGTGTCTGTTAAATAAAAAGAGAAAAGGAAAATGTAACTGACAAGTATTTTCCCAGTTTCATTACTTTTGTGTTTCATCAGAATTACAATGTTGCAATCTAAATTTAAGAAAAGATAAATTTCTTTAATAATACAAAACTGACAGACCTAGTTCAAATGGTACTATGGATATGAGAGTAACATTATGAAATAAAACATTTCCTGAAAGCTGGTGCTAAAGTAAATAAAGCTTATGACTATTTATACTGTTGTAGTTTAAAAGTGAAGAAAAAAACCCTTGAAGAACCACCATTTACATTTATTTCAGGTCGCTTCGGTGGAATTTAATAAGAAAGCTTCCTCCTGATGGCTTCAGGAAGTACCATAATCTTCAGAAGCTGTAAGAAAAAAAGTCTAATTCCCAATATTAAAATTAACTCACATTGTTTGGGCCTGTCTCTTCCCACTTCTGCTCAGACCAGCACTATACCACTGCTTAACACTAACCCTGCCTCGGGGAAATTACTTAGCTGTTAGCTAGAGACTGCCAGGTAACTTTGTTTTGAGGACTTCTAGAAGCCATTCTAGAGAAATTGCAGTTACTCATTCCCAAGGAAATTGGAGCATGAGTTCTCCTGCCACACACTAGACTGTGAAGAAATTTTCCCCATATGTTTACCAATTCAATCTCCACCTAAGAGCAAGGCATGGTGGTTCGAAACCCCAGAGCATGTTGTTTGGGAAACTTAATTCCATTCACATGTCTGCCATGCAGGTTAAGTTTTATTTTGGCCTCAAATAGCATCTGACATGCAAGATTCCCATTCGTTCAGCATTTTTGTGCATACTCCAAAAATCCATCATGGCCCAGGTTATGTTCACCTGTTATTTAGTCCAGCTCTGTGACTAAATCATATCATACTTGAACTGCTGGGTTTAAATATCCTGTGCTTGAATTTTGCTATCTCAGAATTCCTAGTTTCATTTTCATACCTATGTCAGTTTTAGTAATGGTTTTACACTGAGGAAATCTTGCACATAGATATATACCTATACGTTGTTCTTAAAATAGCAGAGAGCAAAATCAGAAGAAAAATTAACCTACTTCATTTGATGAAATGTACTCAAAACTCAGATAATCTGCAAGAAAGTATGTTTCATACTCAAAAATAAAATTTTCAATTAAAATGATTTCAGAACTTTATTCTGAATGTTTAACAACCAGCAGGGAAGAGCTTTTCAAAATTAGGCCTTATGTAAAAACTTCAAGAGGATGCTTCCTTATTCTGTTTTCTGATTTTTGGAGGCTGAAGAATTTTTCTGATCTGTAGCACCACCTTATGTCCACATGTTTAAAAGGAGTTAGGACTTCAAAAATCAAAATTCAGGTTTATGTAACACAGTAGTTGAGCATTTTTACATAATAAAAATTGAACTAATTTTTTGGAGATTTTATTCTTAAGTAACCTCTACACTTAACGTGGGGCTCGTACCCATAACGAGAAGATCAAGGGTTCAGTGCTCTACTGACTAAGCCAGCCAGGCACCCCAAATTTCTTCTTTTATTTTTTAAGATAGATTGATTGATTGATTGATTGATTGATTGATTGATTTTAGAGAGAGAGAAAGCACATGCAGAGGTAAGGGCAGAGAGAGAAAGAGAGAGATAGAGAGAATCCTCAATCCTGGGGCTCAATTCTAGAACACTCAGATCATGATCTGAACTAAAATCAAGTGTCAGTCTCTCAACCGACTGAGCCACCCAGGTGTCCCCCACAAAATACTTCTTGAGTAGCCAATTTGTCTTAACTAATAGATCAAAATAGCCTAATTACAAAAAAAAAAAAAAACTCTACCTGGTTATTAGAGATACAGCTTTGCTCAAACTCTACGCAATACAGTCTATTAATCATTAATCATTAAAACGGTTAGAAACAAGTAAATACATACTAAAGCTTCACTGTGAGACAGATGCATTCCCTACTATGTGATGAGAACCACAGCATGTTCTGTGAAATTGTTAAATGCATAATAAATTTAATAAAAACACTTTTACAAAGTTAGATTTTCTTGCATGTTGGGGAAATGGGAAATCTTTTAGTCAAAATTTCTAATTAACTAAGAATTTGCTTATACTTGAGGGCACCTGGATGTCACGGTTGGTTAAGTGTCCAATTGTTTATTTCAGCCCAGGTCACAATCTCAGGGTTATGAGATGGACCAGACTTGGGTTGTGCTCCTCACTCAGCAGGGAGTCCGCTGGAGATTCTCTCTCCCTCTCCCTCTGTCTCTAATAAATAAATAAATCTTTTAAAAAAGAATGTGTTCATATTGGTTTCTTCCTTATTGCTCCTAGTATTTATTATAAATAAAATATAAATATATATAAACTTCAGAACACCCCAAAGGACAATTATGACCTGCACTCAGAACAAGAAATCAGGCTCGAAGTCCTTATACTGCCATTCCCTACAACCTGGGGCCAGTACATGCAGAAGTGCAAAGCTTTACAAGGGTGCAGTTGATGCAATTGCTTGTGCCCTGGTACCTTTTTCCTTTGACCTCCAGTTAACCCAAGGCTGTTCATCCTGTAAGACTCGTTAACTACGTAAGACTGCATTCTTGTCTTGACATGCCCTTCTAATTTATAGTCTTCTAATCCTGATTCTTTTTACTCCTTTTTTTTTTCTTTTGCCATTAATACTTCCTATAAGCTTCCTCAAACACTTTTTGGAGCAAGGCTTGGGGTGTCAAATTAATAAAATTAAAGCTGACTTGTTGGGCAGATTTGTGGCTAACATGGAATCTGATCTTGAGCCTAAAGATGTCACATACTTGTACTTTTGCCAGCATTGTGTTAAACACTGATCCTTCTATGATACCAGAAAATGTTAAAAAGTCCGACTTCTGGGCCTGTTTGATTACTAAATGCCTTACTGTGCATTAAACTTTTACTTACAGAAATTCAAATATTAAATTTTAACTATTATAAAATATTACACCATTGTTTATTCTCTTAGTAAAGGTAAAGAAATAATTTTTAAATGTAAAAGAATGCCATTTTTATAGTCTATGTTCATATTAAAAAATGGTCTTCAACATCTTTTTAAGTAACATTTTTTTTATGTTTAGTTTCTATTTCGCTTGAGGTATTTCATACATATGTGCCTTGTGACTGCTGCTGCTTTAAAGGACACGGTACTCTCTTTGGGAGATGAATCTTTTTGCTTTATTTTTTAATTAAATAAACCTACACTTCTGATAAAAACTAAAATAAATAAATTTTAACTATTACATGTTCATCTTTATAACCAGAATTTCTAAATCAAACTTGCCTAATCATACATGACTTCAATAGCAAGACATGATACCTAGTTTCACTAAATTATTTTGTTATGCTTACCTTTTTAAATAGAAACAAATGTTAATTGTGGTAAAATATTTATGATGTAAAACGTACCATCTTGAGGCTCCTGGGTGGCTCAGTTGGTTGAGTGGCTGCCTTCAGCTCAGGTCATGATTCCAGAGTCCTGGGATGGAGCCCCGCACCAGGCTCCCTGCTCCACGGGGAGTCTGCTTCTCCCTCTGGCTTGTGCTCTCTCTCTCTCTCTCTCTCTCTCTCTCTCAAATAAATATATAAAATCTTTTTTAAAAATGTACCATCTTAACCAATTATAAGATACATTCAGAGCCACTAAATGTATTCATATTGCTGTGCTACCATCACTGCCACCCACCCAAAGAGCTTTTCACATCTTGCAAAATGGAAACTCTGTTTCATTATGGGTTTTTTTTTCAATTGTGTTAACAGGTGCCTGCAAAACAATAAGATCAGATCCATACCCATCTACGCTTTCAGAGGACTCCATAGTCTTACTAAACTGTAAGTACCAATGCCAGTTAGCTTGCCCCTTCCACGGTGGTCCACCCGCCTGCCCTGCTGCATTCCACAGCAGCCCGGGAAAGGTCAGCTCAGCACGGTGCCTAAGGATGCCAACTCTGCGGGTCCTTAGTTCTTCACATCCTCATCAATACTTCTTTTTTACTGGGGTTTTGTTGTTTGGAGATTTGTTCTTTAAAAAAAAAAAAACAGCCATCCTAATGGCTATGAAGTGGCATTTCATTGTAGTTTAAAGCAAAGCTTTTTAAAATAGGCTTTCTCAAAGTTCCATTTTTTTTAAGATTTTATTTATTTATTCATGAGAGACACAGAGAAAAAGAGAGAGAGAGAGAGAGAAGCAAGCTCCACTCAGGAAGCCCGATGTGGGACTCAATCCCAGGACCCCACGATCACACCCTAGGCCGAAGGCAGGCGCTAAACCTCTCAGCCACCCAGGGATCCCCTTTCTAAGTTCCATTTCACTGAGTTTTACCAAGCAGCTGAACTGAACCTCCTGTAAGAAATAATCGCATGGAAATATAACCAAAAATCACATAGATCAACAAGTTCCTATATTCCTTTCAGCCCCCTTGCTTTAAAACCTAATCCAAGAAATTCATTTCAGTCAGAGTCCTAGTTTGTGGTATTAGGTTTGAGACTGAGAAAAGGCTGTCTAATCATTTTCCTAGCAAAATGGAGAAGAGCCCTGGAGACTCAAATTCCTGTAGTAGCCATTTTGGGGATACTTGGGTGGATCAGTGGTTGAGCATCTGCCCTCGACTCAGGTCATGATCCCAGGGTCCTGGAATCGAGTCCCACATCCAGCCCCCCATGGGGAACCTGCTTCTCCCTCTGTCTATGTCTCTGCCTCTCTCTGTGTGTCTCTCATGAGTAAATAAATAAAATCTTAAAACACACACACACACACACACACACACAAACATGGTAACCACTTTTGCCAAGTCCTCTTCCCTTCTATCCCCTCCCTCCTCTTCCGTGTCTTCACAAATCACCTAAAGTCAATACTGGATTCTTTCCCATCAGATTCCTGACTATCTTTCTCTCTAACCCCCATGAATCTGTTCAAAATTTATTAAATATCATCTGTTTGATTTAACGTTCAATGCATGTGAAGCATAGTCCAGACGGTTTCATGTTCAATGAATATAAAAAATAGTACCACAAATTCTAGTATCCTCCGTATTTTTCCATGGTTATTCATAGCATCAGAATATTGTTTAGATGTTAAGATGTCACATACTTCTAGGTTATCATAGATAATTAGATTTGCTGTTGATCCATCCATAAATATTCATTAGCCTTTATAGTGTGCAAACATTTCAGCTAGACATCATGGGGAGGTGGCACTGAAATATAAGTCACAGAGGCTGCCTTCTAACAGCTTACACCTTAATGTTTCAGTAAAGAGCTATGCTACCACTGGGGAGAAGTGTGCCTCTTGTTCTCCAGAAGCTTATGATCTAGGGTGGGGAACAGTACAAACATATACACAACAATTAGAGAATGATAAAAGAGGTCACTTAATTAAATCCTAAGCCTGTGTTGTTCAGATCAAAACTGGTATTAAGATTCACTGAAAGGGCCACCTGGGTGGCTCAGTGGGTTACACTTCCGACTCTTGATTTTTGGCTCAAGTCATGATCTCAGGGTCGTGAGATGGAACCCCATGTCTGGTTCTGTGCTCAGTGTAGACTCTACTTGAGATCCTCTCCCTCTGCCCCTCTCCCTCATTCTTGCAACACATGCGTACTCTCTAAACTGAATAAATAAAATAAATCTTTAAAAAAAGGATTTACTGAAATGAGTGACCATTTGGCATCTGGAGCGGTGAAGGATGACTCAGGAAAATATACAAGACTGGGCTAAACAGAGGAGTATAGCAGGAGTGGATCAAATGCTTTTTACCTAGGGGATTGCTACTGGCTTTTAAAGAGACCGGTGAGGCACATGCACCCCCATGTTTATAGCAGCACTAAAATAGCCAAAATTTGGAAAGAGCCCAAATGTCCATTGGCTGATGAACGGATAAAGAAGATGTGGTGTATCTACATACACAATGGAATATTACTTAGCCATCAGAGGGATGAATACTTATGTTGATGTGGATGGAACTGGAAGGTGCTATGCTATATGCTGAGTGAAATAAGTCAATCAGAGAAAGAAAATTTTCATATGGTTTCACTCATATGTGGAATTTAGGAAACAAAACAGAAAAACATAGGGGAAGGGAAGGAAAAATAGAATAAGAAAAAAACAGAGAGAGAGACAAACCATAAGAGGCTCGTAACTATAGCAAGCAAACTGAGGGCTGAGGGAAGGGAGGTGGAAGGGAAGATGGGGTAACTGGGTGATGCGCATGAAGGAGGGCACCTCCTATGCTGAGCACTGAGTATTATATGCAACTGATGAATCACTAAATTCTACTCCTGAAACTAATACTACACTGCATGTTAACTAACTTGAATTTAAATGGAATCTTGAAAGAACAAATAAATGAATAATGAAGGAATACAAATAAATAAATTAAATAAAAACATAAAGGATACTTCTGAGGTGGTCACAGGAAAGTGTTATAACTATTCTTTACCCTTGCTGTCCCCAAATGGGGTTCCAGGTTTACAAGGGAAGGAAGGAAGTGGCTCTAATATGAGCATCATCTCTTGCTACCCCTAAGCAAATGTCAAACCTGGTGGGGACTGGGGAGACGACTGGCAGGAGAAATTTTATAAGATGTCAACACTAAGAACTGTCGGAATAGAGAAAAGAGAGAAATCAACGTGGTCCATGTGTTTGTGGAAGTGAAATTTGAACTATAACTTGCATGTGACTCACAGGCAGAAGGGGAAAAGAAAAGGAAAGAAACCACAATGGGAGGCATGAACAGAGGTGTTGTTGTAATAAATAATATGTACCGAGTGCTTATGACATGCACTGCCTCAAATGTTACAACCCAATAAAGCAGGTACTAATATTACCTCCATTTTGGAGATGAGTAAACTGAGGCTTTCAGAAGTTAACTGCTTGCTTACGGTCACGCTATTAATAAGTAGCAACACTAGCACTCAAACTGTCTGACAGCAGAGTCAGAGCAGCGCACTGCTCTACTAAAGAGACTGAGGTAGAAATAAACGTGGCAGGAGGACAAGATCAACAGAACAGAACAGAGTTGGTTCACTCTGCAGAAAGGTAAAAGGGACAGTTGGATAGGTAAGGTGAGGTCAGACTCTTCAGTAAGGCATGGAATGGCCTTTTTTTTTTCCAGATAGGCCCCCAACTGACTCCCAGGTTCATCCTCTGTCTCTCTTCACAGCCCCTTCGTGGTGAGACCACACTGAAATACCTGGTGATCCCTTAACTTGTTGCTCTCTCTCATACCTCTTGCCTTTGCACAAGCAATCTCCTCTGCCCATATTAACTCTAGCCATTCTTTGCTTTATGAATGACATCTTCATCCAAATTTCTGTCCATCTAATTGGGCCCCCTTGCTCTTCCACACCCTGCAGTCCCCACTCCCAACAAAGCCAAGTGCTTTCTCCTTTGCAATGTCTAAGCGAGCATACCTTGTTCATTTCTCTCTTTTCCCCATATTGCTGTAATAACCTGTTCATCTTCTGTCTTCCCTCTAGACTCCTAGCCCCTCAAAGAAAGGGATGATAAACCTAGCACAGTGCCACAGAGTAGATAGCCAAAGCAATTTGATGAGTAAAGGCATAGGTGAATGAATAGAGTGGTTGATTGATTGATTGATTGATTGATTGACTATAGGGGAACTAAAGCCAAGACATGAAAAGGTAAGTGACAAAAAACTTTTAGAGACCCAAAAGAAGGGAAAAGGTATGATGAGAATAACATATAAGAAAATCTAAGACCGATGATTATTGTTTTTCCTTTCCTTAATGTAGGATATCAAGAATGTAACACTTTTGGGGCGTCTGTCTGGCTAAGTCAGTAGAGCATGTGACTCTTGATCTCCAGATTGGGAGTTCAAGCCCCACATTGGGTGTAGAGATTACTTAAAAATAAAATCTTTTAAAAAGAAAAAAAAAAGGGGCACCTGGATGGCTCATCGGTTGGGTGTCTGCCTTTGGCTCGGGTCATGATCCCGAAGTCCTGGGATCGAGTCCTGAATCAGGTTCCCTCTGCAGCCTGCTTCTCCCTCTGCCTCTCTTTGTGTCTCTCCTGAATAAATAAATAAAATTTTTAAAAAGAAGAAGAAGAAGGAAAAAAAGAAGGTAACACATTTATTGTAGTCATTTCTCTTTTTTTTTCAGGTATCTCAGTCATAACAGAATAACTTTCCTGAAGCCGGGTGTTTTTGAAGATCTCCACAGACTAGAATGGCTGTATGTTTAATTTACGTGGCATTTTATAGTATTAGTTTTTATATTCTAAATATATAAATGAATCAATTTTTTCTTCTGGCTGGCAGGATAATTGAAGATAATCACCTCAGTCGAATTTCCCCACTAACATTTTATGGACTAAATTCTCTTATTCTCTTGTAAGTACTAAAAATTAAAGCAAATATTTCAATTGAAGGAAAAGATATGAATAAAAATTACTGCTTTAAGTTTAACAGCATTAAATATGGAATCGTTAAAACCCCAAAAAGGCCTTTCCAACTAAAATCCATCTCTTAATTATATTCTGAGGCTACTTTGTAGTCGTAACAATTTTATAAGATCTTCTGTCTTCTAGGACATCAGCCCATCAAAACTGAATACAGCCTCACTACCATGTTTTATTGAAATATTTTCAAGCACACCATTACTGCCCAGTATTAATCTTGGTAAAGAAAAATAACATTCATTTTAAAGTCACCTCCTTCTCACTACCCACTTTTGAAGGGCACAGGCTTTTTTTCAGTTACTAACATTGCTGCTTCCTCCATTTGACAACTATCATTTGTCGAATTTTATTACTAACAAGCACTTAAATATAACAAGACTTACAGAAAAAAAAAAAACAGAAGAAAACTAACAGATTTTTGTGGTTTCATAAAGAATAATGACAATACCATGTTTGACCTAAGATGAGAAAAGAACCAGAAAAATGTGACTTCTTTTCTTTCTTTTCTTTTTCAGAGCACTGATGAATAATGTCCTCACTCATTTGCCGGATAAACCCCTTTGCCAGTACATGCCAAGACTGCATTGGCTGTAAGTTGATGAACCTTTTCTTAAAGAAGTCAGCTATTTTTCCTGGTTTTGCCTCGTTCATTTTGGATATTGGGTTTTTTAAAATGATAGGTTGTTAATGTCGCATCACATTTCCTCAAATTACTTGAGCATGATTTTGTTATTAAACATCCCCATTGTCTAAACTAACTCCTCTAGACCCTCACCAAGATAAAACAACACACACACACACAATTTGGAGGCAGGAAGAAGAAAGAAGAGATGTCACAGTATCCATAGAACATCTCTTTCTTCCCTCTGTCGATCTATTTTCGAGTATCAATTTGATACAGAAAGACAGTCTCTTTAGTCTCATTCCTAAATTTGGCATAATGAGAATATGATATTTAGAATTTATTTTTGAAGTCTACTCTCAATAGAATATGTTTCATGGACGTGTTTACACAGTAACTTTGCTTATGGTAATAAGGATCATTCTACCCATTCACTGGTTAATTACCCAATAAATTTGCCTATTTAAAATGCAGGTAAAAATGAAGACATAAGTAACACAAAAATAACTATTTAAAAGTTCAATCAATTATCTGTATATACAGTTTATATGAAAACTTCCTCTGTCTCTCATTTTGTAGGAAATTCCTAGAAGTGTTGTTGTTTGATTTCTAAGCTCACAGTAGATTAAAAGTAGAGGGGAAAGATGAAGTTCAAAACATTAGTGCGAAGTGAGAACTATCAACCTGATAACAAAGCAGGAGTGGGAAACGCTATAAAAAGTAGACATAATTATTCAAAGCACACTAGTTTGGAACCATTTAGAGGAAGACAAACATCCCCAAAATCATTACTAAGTCCAGAGGGCATCTTGGTATGACAGCACAGAACTCCCGTTGTTGACAACGTGACATATTTGAGAAAAGGGCAAATTAAGTTCAATATCCCTTGTAATTAAATTTTGTTTCAAATGATCACATTAAACAGTTATTACATGCTCAGTAATCCAAACTTAGTAATAAAGCAAAACTGATTAATATTTACATAAGTAAACTAGCAATTAAAAATTCATACACTGAGACCAGAAGCAAATGTAGGAGATATTATGCAATACATTAATAAACATTTCCTTTGCTTTTAAAAAGGCAGCCAAATATACATCTCAGATAAAACTTTATTTTTTTAAGATTTTATTTATTTGAGAGAGTGAGAGAGTGCAGGAGCCAGTGGGGCAGGAGAGGGGGGCAGAGGGAGACTCAGACACCCCCCTGAGCAAGGAGCCCCATAAGGGGCTCCATCACCAGGACCTTGGGATCATAATCTGAGCTGAAGGCAGATGCTCAACTGACTAAGCCACTCAGGCACACCTCAGATAAAACTTTAAATGATTAAGATTAATTACTAAAGCGGCACTTGGGTAACTCAGTCGGTTAAGCATCCAACTTTTTTTTTTTTGACATTTATGTATTCAGAGAAAGAGAGAGCACGTGTGTGCAAGCAGCGGGAGGGGCCGTGGGAGAGGGAGAGAGAATCCCAAGCAGATTCCATGCTGAACTGGGAGCCCCATATGAGGCTGACATCCCACCACCATGAGATCATCACCTGAACCAAAATCAAGAGTCGAAGGTTCAACAAACTGAGCCACCCAGGTACCCCTGGTCAAATGTCCAACTCTTGATTTCAGCTCAGGTCATCATCTGAGGGTCTTGAGATCGAGCTCCAGGTTGGGCTCCATGCTCAAGCTGGGGTCTACTGGAGGTTCTCTCACCTTCTTTCTCTCCCTCCCCCTGCTCGGGCACACCTGCCATCTCTCTCTCACAAAATAATAAGCAAATCTAAAAAAAACTAAGATCCATTACTAAAGAAATGGACTTTTTATAATTTCATCACTAAAGTTACTGTCTTTAAATTTTAGCTATCCAAAAAAGTCATTTTGTATGCATTCCTGATAGTATTATGCCAATTTTAATGCTAGTAACAATAATGTTTGCTTCATAAATATTCATTTATTTTAAAACTAATCACTGTATCTTTACCTCACACATGAACTTTTATGTAGCAAAGTATAAACTGAAAAATCAGTTAGATGTGTTAGTTAAAAAAAAATTATTCAACTGACTTAGTGGAAAAATACACATAAAAGACATGACAGCTCAGGATAATATGCTCAGACAGACAACAGATTAAAATCTTTATTATAGTTCTTTCAAAGCAAAAACAAAAAACAAAAACAAAAACCTATAAACGCCACAATAGAAGTTGGGAAATTCAAAAAGTTAGAGATATAAGTAATAAATAAGCACAAGAACAGATGGGGGAAAGGTGAACTAAAGATCAAGAGAGTAAATTAAACTTATTTTGATAGGAGATGAAGCAAGTTTATTTATAGGCAGGAGAAGCTAATATGAAGAATTTGAAACTATAGACAACAGTGAAGATATATTATAGAGCAAAGGGCTGGAAGATGTGGACCCAGATGCAAAAATAAACTGTGATACACACACAACATTTAAAATCAATGACTGAGCCCCACTTCAGTCAACCTGGCTCAATTTCAAGAACATAATATGAATTACAAAGAAAATGTCACCAAAGAGTACAATGTATTACAATTCTATTCCAACAAGATTATGCTTAGGATATAGAAAGTCACAAAACACCACTGCTCCCTTCCTACAGATAGGAAAGAACTTTATCATCTACACAATAATATTGGAAAAATAGAGTTTAGAACAGAGCCTATAACCAGGGATAAAGAGGGATATCGCACAATGATAAAGGGGTCAATTCAGCAAGAAGACTTAATAATCTTAGATGAGTAAACAGTTTCAAAATGAATACAGTGATAACCATGGAACCATAAAGAAAAATAACTAAGAGTCAAAAGATATCACTTAAAACCAACAAATCCACCAAATGTGGATATTTGATATTCCTAAGCTGAATATTAACAAAAAGCATACAACTTATCAAAATCATATGGTGGGAGAAAAGCAGAGGAGCAGAAAGGAAGACAATATATACTCATTTTATCAGTTCTTATAAGTTATAATAGGAAATGAGTAAGTATTGTTATTCTCTAGAAAGAGAAGATACAGTGTATTGGGTAAAGTTATAAAGATAACCAATAGTTATACAAACCTTTCTAAATATTAAAATAAAGGTTTTAGGGCAGCCCAGGTGGCTCAGCGGTTTGGCGCTGCCTTCAGCCCGGGACCTGATCCTGGGGACCCCGGATCAATTCCCACATAGGGCTTGGAGCCTGCTTCTCCCTCTGCCTGTGTCTCTGCCTCTCTCTCTCTCTCCATGTCTCTCATAAATAAATAGATAAAGTCTTTTTAAAAAATTAAAAAATAAAGTTTTTTTTTAATTTGTTGAAAGTTTTTTAACATAAAAAACCTTATAGTAAGTAATATTTTTAAATAACAGACTAAGGTCAGATATATTAGTCATCTCCGTACACTCAAGTGGGTTTAACTGTTAACTTACTTATTAGAAAGAAAAGAGATTTTTCAAATTGGCTCACAAAACAAAACATAATTCAGTGCTATTTACAAAAAAAAATAACTATAATTGAGTGATTAAGAAAGATCGAAAATAAAAGGCTGGTCTAAAGTATTCCATGTAGATGCAAACCAGTAAAAAAGAAGGCATCATATTTTATCTAAGTAGTTAAATTCTGGCCAATTCGCATTAAACAACACTAAGAAGGACATTTAAATACTATAGTGTGCAATTTCTAACAAAAGATATTACATGATAAGTATATATGCACCAAGTAGATCCATACAGTAACCAAAAGGAATAGTAGGCATACATGAGCAGTAACAGAAAATAACCCACCTCTATTAGTCCATGAAAGATCAAGTAAAACCAAAAGGGATACGAAGAACTAAATAACATAATTAATAACCCAACTCTAATTTTTGTATATCAAACGACAATGTCCCTTCTCAATAACAGAACTGATACATTTGGGACAGCAGTGTGCCCAGCTGAAATACATTCCCAGATTTTCCTGCGTCTTGATATGGCCACATGTCTAAGCTCTGATTAATAAGGTGGAAGAAGTTTAGTGGGGAACTTCAAGGAAGTCTTCCTAAAGAGAAAAAGGCAAGCCCTTCCTCTCCTTATTCAAAAACATGCATATGATGGCTCAAGCTTTAGTACCATCCTAGACTATGAAGACAAGGGCATATAAACAGTAAATTTGAAAGATGTTTCAGGGTGCCTGGGTGGTTCAGTTGGTTGGGCGTCAGCCTTTGGCTCAGGTCATGATCAAGCCTGGCTTGGGGCTCCCATGGCAGCAGAGGCTCCCAGTTCTTCTCCCTCTGCCCCTCCCTCCTCTTGTGCTCTCACTTGCTCTCGCCCACATTCTCTCTCTCAAATAAATAAACACAATCCAGAAAGGAAGGAAGGAAGGAAGGAAGGAAGGAAGGAAGGAAGGAAGGAAGGAAGGAAGGAAGGAAGGAAGGAAGGAAGGAAGGAAAAGAAAGAAAAGAAAAGAAAAGAAAGAAAAGAAAAGAAAAGAAAAGAAAAGAAAAGAAAAGAAAAGAAAAGAAAAGAAAAGAAAAGAAAAAAAGAAAAGAAGTTCCTAACAACTTTGTTAATACCATACTAGCCCTGGACTACCTAACTGTAGTTGCGTATTTATGCAGTTATGGTTGGGTGTCTGTTATACGTACCTGCACCTAATTCTAATAGATATTAACCTGAAAGCAAACAACAACCAAAGAACATTCGCCAAAATTGACCATATATTTTAGGACATACACACACATAAGCCAAACTCGAGAAAACAGATGGAGGGATCGGAAGGGTCATCTCTTCCTCTTGAGACTAGGAGACCCAAGGGCATATACAGGTTAAGTTTGTAGATGTTGAGTAGAAAGTCAGGGGCTCCTCCCTGCTTCATCACTTCAATTCTCTCTGTGAAATAGGAGCCAGAAATGTTTCAAAGAGGAGGAAGTAGAGGTTAAGGAGATATGAATGTTTAAACGCCAGCAGGCTGATAAGAGAGGAAGTTGAGAAGAAAGATTATTGGTGGTGTTAGTGTGTTCTTCAGATGGAATCAAATTTTCACTTTTAGCCAATTCTGAAACCTCATGACCAAATTAGCCAAACTTAACGACCATGTATAAAGGGAAAAAATAAATGGTTACGTTTAGAGACTTATTGGAAGTTGGAAAAGTAGTCTAGACATTAGAAGCAAGAAAAGCATGAAAAACACCCCTTGTCAGCTCACTTAGGGCTTAGAGCTAGGGACAAGAAGCAGATTTGTATGCCTCCAACCGGATCCCTGTGTATCAAGGACTAAAGCGTCTAATTTTAGGAAGAAAGCCAAAACAAATTCCCAAATAAAGCTTAAAATAAACTCAAAATCCAACTAAACTGATGATTTGATCAAGTCCCTAGTTTATGCCTTGATGTACACCCCTTATTGATTTTTGCAAATTAGCAAATTAATACTAACTTAAATATTTTTGTTAACTTAATAGAAAAAAAATGTTACAGTAGTAGCTAACAAGAAAAATAAATCAACTGACTATCACAGGATATTTTCTGAGACTTAAGAGAGCATCACCACCTGGTGGTAGATTCATGGTAACAGCAATAAAAGAGGAAAGAAACAGTGTCACTGACAATGCATATTGCGAGAGACCAGAAACTTTGACCGAAGTTAATGACCAAAAAAAGTAGTACTATAAGTACTTAGTTTCCAATTGAAGAGAACAATAGAATTTTTTCTTTAGAAGAATGATCTAGAATCAAGATTTAAGACAATACAATATTCTGTATAGTAAGAAATCCTGTCTACAAAATTCTTGAGTTATGGTATATTGCCTCTGCTAAAGACCTGTAGCCACAATAAGCTTATTCTCCAGGTACTATAGATGGTGAACTTAAATATGAAATCTTTTTTGTCCTTCAACCAGTAAATCTAATTTTGCAACCTGAATGCAACATAGAAAAACCCTATGATATCATCTACAGCCTGACTTCAAATATAGCTCTCTCATTTTGCTCTTTTCTATTACAAATACACCCTTTTCCTCAATTGACTTGATTTCTAGGCCCCGTACATCCTGATTTTCCAGATTGTTCAGATACAGGCTGATTTGTCAAAGTCTATTTTTATTGCAATGCCCAGAATAGAACTAACTATTCCAGATGTAGCCTCGCCAGTGGAATGTAGGTGTTTCTTTTAATGTTACCCATGTTTCCCTGGCAGATTTTAATTCCAGAGTCACACTTCAGTTCATATACTTTAGTCACAATTGGTCTTGAATAGCTCTATATATTATATGGTGACCAGTAAACTAAGTGTTGGGGGAGACGGAGCAGATTTAAGGACCATCATTTACTCCTGAAAGCATATCCCTAGCCTCGGCTAACTCTCTGTTCTACAAACTTACAAAATAAACTTAACAATAAAAGAGGGACAATAAAAGAATGCCTTCATGATCACCATGAATAAAGAATAGACATTAAAACATACATTTTGTGACAAGTTTTACAGCTCAGACCAGACTCCTGATGCTGACATAGCATCACACAGCAAGGGAGTACAGATAGGGTCTATACACATCTTCCTAAATTGGAAGTTGGAAAGCCAAGGACGGCATTGGCCTGTGTGACAGTATAATAAAGCAAATGATGGTGTCCTCAGAAGTAAAGGCCATTGAGAATTTTTCCTGGGAGGTGTTTAGGCAAGGGAGGTAGAGGTGAAATATTGTTTTGGCAGCAGGAGCTTCTGTAGCAACAATAGAATCTTCTGCAGACTGTAGCAAATAGGGTCATACCACTTAGAGAAATGGCACTGGTAACTATAGACAGATGTTTTGTTGTCATTTTTTAAGGAGATAGGAGTTTGTTGAATTGACCACAAGGGAGCAGTGTAGACAGATGTATATAATACATGCCACTATTAAAATCTGGTGAGAAAGTGGTTGTTTATCATAACAGTTTTTAATTTGACTCTTCATTGTCTTCACATTTCTCGGGATAACATATATACCCATGTGAACATATGATATGTATGTGACTCAAACATTTTTACTATGAACACAGAAAAAGAAGCATTACATTTATTTATTATTTCTGCTCTTATGTAAGTGGCTACTTGTGGGAATCTATATGAAATATATAGTATGTGAAAAAAAGAGATTTTATTAGATAACAAATAGTGCTTGACCAATTTATTTCTATGATCAAAATTTAGCTTTATCATTTTTGTTTTTATGTTTCAGGGACTTGGAAGGCAACCATATCCATAATTTAAGAAATTTGACTTTTATTTCCTGCGGTAATTTAACTGTTTTGTAAGTAGTGTTTTATCCTTTTGAAGTGATGCTGTATCTCCTTACAAACAAAATTAATCACATATGTGAGCATAAGTTAGCATAAACATGCACAGTAATTATAGCAAATGTTCACTTATGACGAAGTTTTCTGAAACCGAAGCACATTGGCAAAATTTTTGAAGTTCACACCAGACTTAACCAAGATTCACAACATGCATCGATCATCACAACAGTACTGTATTATATGAGACCTATTTTTCTAGAACTTAAATAATACCCATTTTAATGGAAAGAATTTTCATTGACCACCTAGAATCTCTCCTGGGATCTCAGTTTGAAAAACACTAAGTTGGTCTTAATCTATAAGAATATTTGCCCTATGCAAATTTTTACTGTATAGACTGTGGGAAAAAATTTAATCATAACCAAAATTATAAAAAATACTGTAGAATGTCTACACCCCTGAAGATATGATTGTGGACACCAGGATAAACTTTAGAGTGTCATTGAGTATAATTTCTCCTTATGTCCTTCTGGCCTATTTTAAACCCACACTGCTTTTTCCATGAAAGTGAAGGATGCTGGAGCTTCTTACGATATAAAAACACAACTGCTTCATATACAGCTCATTTTTTCAGAACAGTGTTTTTCAGACTGTGGGTTGAAGCTCACAAGTGGGTGATGAAAGCAGTATGGCATCTCCTGACTAGCTTCTTTAATGAAACAGTGTTGAATTGAATCGGATAAAAATATCAGAGTGTAATTCAGATAATCAAATGTACTATTTCTTGAATCTTGGGTTGTGTGGGTGTATGTTACGTCCCATGTTTTTAAGTGTAGTTACCATGGGAAAAGTCTAGAAAGCACTATATAGAATCCACCTAGAAATCCATTCTTTTTTTTTTATTTTTTATTTTTATTTATGATAGTTACAGAGAGAGAGAGAGAGAGAGAGGCGCAGAGACATAGGCAGAGGGAGAAGCAGGCTCCATTCACCGGGAGCCCGATGTGGGATTCGATCCTGGGTCTCCAGGATCGCGCCCTGGGCCAAAGGCAGGCGCCAAACCGCTGCGCCACCCAGGGATCCCTAGAAATCCATTCTTGGAAGCCATAATACTAGGACCCTTGTGTACAGGCAATGTAATAACTGTCACTGATACAACAATTTTTCTCTAATATGCATCCTCCATTCCAGCGGGTTCAAGCCACTAAGATATTTGAACTCTTAATCAGTGAGCTCAGGCGTCTTCAGGTACAGGATGCTTTGTAATGATCATGCAAAAACAGTTCCTACTAACTGCTCGAAGGAAACCAAATTGTACCTGAACAACAGAGACCAAAACTTACAACTTCTTTGCTATTCTACTTTGGTTTGCTTTTAAAGAAGCCTCTGTGTGAAGAAATCATTTGTGAGTTTCCTCTTGGCAGGTGCTTGTAGTTTTCTGGTCTAGGGATACTGGCAGGAGTTCATAATGGTTTGGAGAGCTGGGAGGAAATAAATACTTCAAGATGGTACAAGGCCAACCTCCCGGCATGCCACATAACATTTAAAGAATTGGAAACATTTTAAAACTTTTCTGTGAGTTAGTCCTTTATGCTGGTTCTTAATACAGGAGATCAGGGCAGAAATGAACTGGTCAAAAATTACTACAGCCGGATTCAACATCCCAAACTAGAGATGTTCTGAATTGGTCCAGCATAGATTAGACTTCCCTAGTCAACTCTACTCCAAGTCCCATCAACTACCAAAGGTGTGTGAGTGCGATTGGGGGGGTGGAGGGGGGGCAAGGGCAGTATTCTGTTAGAGACACACTCTATGCCTCCTCAAGAAGAGGCGACCCTAAGCTCCCTGTGCTCTCAGTTGCATGATACTCAGTCTGTATTCTCAAGAGTTCACGTTTCCACAATTTCCCTTGCAGCATTCTTCTCTACCTCACTTAAAAATTTGAATATTTTATTTTTATCATCACTAAAAGATTTGAGAAATTTAAGACCAAAATCAGACTGGGTAGTTTACCATACTACAAAATACTTGATGTGAAAATGCACTGTATGTAATTATCTTTTCTTTTTTTTTTTTTCAGGCTGTTAATCTCTCCAAAACCTCATTTATCACTTACCTCAAGGAGCCACAACATATTTTTCTTTTTACTTTCAGGGTAATGAGGAAAAACAAAATTAATCACCTAAATGAAAATACTTTTGCACCTCTTCAGAAGCTAGATGAATTGTAAGTTTGATAAGACCTTTTTCTCTCTACTCTTTTAGTTGCTACTTGTTACACATACTTGCTTTTATACATATGAGAAATATTTATCTCTTTTCCTAGCATTATTTGTATACACTTTGAGCCACCGATGAACTCAGATAGCTTACAAAAATATACTTTAGAAGTATTTAAGGCAAGTGAGATAAAGGAAACATAGCTACAATGAAATAATAAAGTCAGGGTAAAATTAATACATAAAATACATCCTACAGCACTCTGTCCTACTGCTGAAAGGAACAGCACATTTGTTTTATGTTTCCTAGAGTGTTAGGATTCAGAGACCATAAGATAAAAAGACATACTTTGCTAATTCCGGAAACAAAAGATAATCTTGGATCCACAAAGAAATTGGAGATTCTTGGATAACATCCCAACCTATAAATCAACTCTTTATACTGTCTCTTTTTTAAGATCAATGACCCAATTCCAAAGTGCATTAAGACAACTCTCTGGTAAACCAAAGCTTTGTGGCCCAAGCACATAGTAGCCTATTGTCAGAATTAAATATGTTGAGCAATGAAATTTATGTCCTTCAGAGAATTTTTTTTAAGATTTTATTTATTTAAAAAAAAGATTTTATTTATTTTTTCTTGAGAGACACACAGAGAGAGAGAGGCAGAGACACAGGCAGAGGGAGAAGCAGGCTCCATGCAGGGAGTCCGATGCGAAACTCGATCTCAGGACCCAGGGATCACACCCTGAGCCTAAGGCAGGCGCTCAACCCAGGCGTCCCGACAATTTTTTTTTTTTTAGTATTAATTTTCTCAGTTGGGTTTTTCCTAAAGTGTGGGCTAGCAACTACACTTGACCCTTGAATGACGGGTTTGAACTGTGCAAAAATTAAGGTTCCAAGTCATATTTGTACTCTAATGCAAAAGGAAGAAGGGAACGAAGAGAAGAGAAAAAGAGGCACAACTCATACATTAATTAAATTAGAAAATTGGATCTGTTGGAACAAGATCAAATACCATCAAGCATTTGTCTGTGAAGAAGTGATGAAATGAGATAAATTACTTTTATATTTTCCCATTACACTTTTTAAAACCGTTTAGACTTCTGGTAAGTAATATAACTCACTAACAGCATTAAAAAGTTGTATATTGGTTTCCTCACAAATTACAGAACATGGATAAAGTCTTAAGAAAATAATATGACATGGTTGCAATTATTTCCCTAGGGATTTAGGAAGTAATAAGATTGAAAATCTTCCACCGCAAATGTTTAAGGATCTGAAGGAACTCTCACAATTGTAAGACTGATACTAATTTTATCACTTCATTTTTTTTAACAATCTCTCTTATTTTTAAATTGTAATAATATATATAACATAAAATTTAGCATTTTAATCATTTTTAAGTGTGAAGTTCAGTGGCGTTAAATACATTCATGTTGCTGTACAGCCATCACCAGCACCCATCTCCAGAACTTTTACGTCCTCCCAAACTGAAACTCCATACCTATTAAACAATATCTCCCCATCACCTCCCCTCACCAGTATCTCTGTTCTGTATTTATTAATATTTCTACTCTAGGTAAGTCATATAGACGGAATCATTCCATAGTTGACCTTTCGTGACTGGCTTATTTCACTTAGCACAGTGTCTTCAGGGTTCATACTTTTTGTAACATGAGTCAGAATTTCTGGATATTACTCTGAATAATAGCATTAATCAGTAATATTATTATTCTAAATAATAACTCACTGTATATATATATATATATATATATAAAACTACTTATAGTTTTATATGTATATATGCTGCATTGTGTTCATCCATTCATTCATTAATGGTCATTTAGATTCCTTCCACCTATTAGTTAGCTATTGTGAGTAATGCTGCTATGAATATGGGTGTACAAATATCTGTCTGAGACCTTTCTTTCAAGCCTTTTCGGTATCTAACCCAAGAAATAAGATTGTTGGTCATGTGGTAATTCCATCTTTATTTTTCTGAGGAAATAGCACACTATTTTCCAAATGGTTACACCATTTTACATTCCCACTAGCAGTGCACAAAGGTTCCAATTTCTCCACATTTTCAACAACATTTGTTCTTTTCTATTTTTTGAATAGTATTCATCCTAATGGATGTGAAATGGTATCTCATTGTGGGTTTGATTTGCATTTCCCTAATGATTGATAATGTTAAGCAATTTTTCATGGGCTTATTGCTCATATATCTATCCTCTTTGGAGAAATGTCTCAAGTCTTTTGCCCATTTTTTAAATTGAGTTGTTTTGTTGTTGTTGAATTATAGGAATTTTTATACATTTTAGATATTAAATCCTTTTCAGATATATGATTTGCAAATATTTTCTTCTGTTCTGTAAATTGCTTTTCCACTGTTTGATAGTCTCCTTTGACATACAAAAGTTTTTAATTATGCTGTCCAATTTTTCTATTTTGTTGTTGTTGCCTATGCTTTTGCTGTTATATACAAGAAATCATTGCTTCATCCAATGCCTTGAAACTTTTCCCATTTGTTTTTTTCCTAAGAGTTTTATAGTTCTAGCTTTTATACTTAGATGTTTGATCCATTTTGAGTTCATTTTACAAATGACGTAAGGTAAAGTTCTAAGTTCATTCTTTTATATGTGGATAGTTTTCTAGTTTTCCCAGCTCCGTTTGTTGAAAAGACTCTCCTTTTCCCATTGAATGGTCTTGGCACTCTTGTTGTAAATCATTCAATCATATATGTAGGGGTTTATCCCTGTGCTCTCTATCCTATTCCATTGGTCTATATATTTGTCTTTTTAACAGTACCACACTGTTATGATTACTATAGCTTTATAATAAGTTTTGAAATTAGGAAGTGTGAAGGCCCCAACTTTGTTTTTCTCAAAATTGTTTTAGCTATTCAAGCTTCCTCGAGATTCCATGTAAACTTCAGAATGGATTTTTCTCTCTTCGCCAAGAAATATTAAGATTTTGATAGAAATTACACTGAATCTGTGGTTCACTTGAGGAGTAATGACATCTTTTTTAAGATTTATTTATTTATTTTAGAGAGAGAGGAGGGGGGAGGGGTAAAGGAGGAGAGAGAATGAGAGAGAGAGTCCCTGCTAAGCAGGGAGCCTGATGTGGGGCTCAATCCCAGGACCTGGGATCATGACCTGAGCCAAAGGTCGGTGTCTACTTAATCCATTGAGACACCCAGGCACCTGAGAGAGAGAGTCTTAAGCAGACTCCATGCTTGATCCCAGAAGCCCAAGATCACAACCCTGAGATCACAACCTGAGATCATGACCTGAACGGAAACCAAGAGTCAGATGCTTAACTGACTGCGGCCCCCAGGTCCCCCAGGGAGTATTAACATCTTGACAACATGAAGTCTTCTAATCCATAAACATACAATGTCTTTCCATTTAGTGGTGTCTTTTTAAATTTCTTTTGGCAACATTTATTTTCAAAGCACAAGACTTTTACTTACTTGGTTAAGTTTATTCCTAAGTATTCAATTCTGTTGATACTACTTTTGAATTTCCTTTCTGGATTGTTCATTGTTAGTGTATAGAAATGCATTCAGTTTTTGTGTAGCGGTTTTGTATTTGGCAACTGCTGAATTTTGTTATAACAGTTGGGTGTCTGTGTGAAATTTTTAGGGTTTTCTACACATAGTAGAACAGAGATGTCATCCGTGAACAGAGATCATTTTACTTCTCCCTTTCCAATTTGAATGCCTTTTTTTCCTTGCCTAGTGACTCTGGCTAGGACTTCCAATATTATGTTAAATAGAAGCAAAAGTGAACATCCCAGTCTGGTTGCTAATTTTGGAGGAAAACCCTCTGTCTTTCACCATTGAGGATGATGTTATAACTCTTCGGCTTTCCATATATGGCCTGTAGTGTGTTCATATAGTTTCCTTCTATTCCTAGACTGTTGAGTTCACTTTGTTTCTTCATACAACTCAATTTCCATTGTCATTCTTCCTATCTTCCCATCTTTCTACAATCACTACCCCTCCAGAAGCTCCCCCACTTAACTAATAGTCTAGCCCAGAATAAATTTTTCAAAGAGAATTTGCCCTGAGAAGCTCCCTTTAATCAATGATTCTTGTCTTGAGGTATTTTTTCACAAAGATTCTGAAATTTTTTCGATTAAAATTGAGCTGCACTGTCACTCTGGTCTATATCTCTTTGTTCCCAGCTAGAGCCCTTTACTTTTCATTTCATGCCTCACAAATCATTAGCACAAATGTCATTCTTTGGCATAAGATTTATTGTTAAAAGTATTTAGGGTGATTCCATTAATTCAAATTTTGAAAAATGAGATGTTTTCCATTTAACTAAATGAGTCCTAGGCAAAATGGGAGGTATGTGTGGTTTCTTTTAGAGCACTCTACCATCTCTGGTGAGAGCCATTTCTTGATGAGTCCACTTTCATTCTTATGTTGTCTTAGCTCCCTCTCTATCACTAACAAAATCATAGTGCTAATTAACAGCCAGGTGCTATTCCAATTCATTTAAATATTTTATCTCCATTAATTCATTGAAATATTTAGTGAACTCTTTAAGGCAAGTGCTGTTACTACACCTTTTTTTGTTAATGTTTAAATGTATTCCAGTCAACAGATGCACTTTCTCTTTACTTAACCAGTTTCTAGAAATGACCTATTGCTGCCTTTTTTTAAAAAAACAGGAATCTTTCCTATAATCCCATCCAGAAAATTCAAGCAGATCAATTTGATTATCTTGTCAAACTCAAGTCTCTGTAAGTATATACCAATGGGGATAGCTTTACGATGAAATTTTTATTTATATACTAGTAGCTGATAAATTCTAAAAAATAAAATTTGTAGAATCTTTCAAATCAGAAGCTTTATTACCAGGATATGGTTAAGCACTACACAACCATATGAGTGCTCACTAGACTATAAACAAACAGATAGCTATTAGTTTTACCTTACATATTTACAAACTAAAAATTAGGTAATGATTTTATATTTTTCTGTAACCACCAGGAGCTTATATTGGATTGTTTGCTTTGATCATCTGAAGGCAACTCTGCATATTCATTTCTCCATTAGCACTGGTATCTAAACATTTATTTCAGCCATCATTATCCCAAAGATGCAATTTTCTAGATTATATAAATCAATACTTGCACCACACATACACACACAAACCTGTTACAGTCTAAGAATTGCCTTTAAAAGATAAGCTTCAGTTCATTTAATTTAATGCTCCCTCAGTAAAATGGCATCTTAATAGATAAAATTTATTATTTAAAAATTATTAGAAAAATTTCTAAACTGCTCTATTGTAATATTGTTTGAAAGATGTGTATTCATTTATTCTACAAATACTTACTGAGTAGTTACTATGAGCAAAGCATGTTATATTCTGTAAGGACCAAAAAAATTCAAACAGACGAGATATATGTGTAGAAATGCCAGAATAAGAAGGAGTTGGGGAAGTAAGTGCATAGGCATGCTGAATATGAATGTTTGGTTCACAATGTTAACTGACAGCATTTTATTAAATTATCCTTCACAAAAACTCATTTTATTACACCCTTGTAATATATGTCATTTTGATAATTAATTTGATATTTTTAGCAGCCTAGAAGGAATTGAAATTTCAAATATCCAACAAAGGATGTTTAGACCTCTAATGAATCTCTCTCACATGTAAGCAAATGTTTTTCTTGTTTTTCACTTTGATTTTAATCTGTATTTCCATGTGCACTGTGCTAATACATCCATACCCAATGCATTCAATCTATCAAATTTTCTGCTAATATGCCTAAACAATGTTATTCTTAAAATGTTGCTATTGAATGGGATGATTTTTAGTGTTCCATGGTTTGGTAGGATTGAAAGTGATTTTTTTAAATGTCAGAGAACATAAGTGCAGAGGGAATATACCCAGTCTAATAAGCTCTCCTTAGCACTGATGCCACTAATTCATAATGATGTTTGCCTGATGAGCTAGTAATTTGCACACATGGTATAGGTGCTACCAGATGAAGAAAAAGGAATCTATATAAGCAATACAAAATAATCATAAATAAATAATTACTGTAAATGGAGCAAAATATGGAGAAATTCTCCTCGGTAAAAATTGCCGCCAACATCAGGACATGATTGGTGCAAATGCATATGGATAAAATAGCAAACTTTGAAAAATCTTTTATTAAAACAGTGTGTATTATGGTACCATTGACTCCATGCTTTGGAAACATTTTTCTTTGATTGAATGCAGTCTTACAGCAGATATTAGAAGGATCTTCATGCCAGGCTAATTAAGTCTCAACAATTTAGAAAGTGTCATGTCAGCCACCACCACTCTATAATTTTGCTTATATTTTAAGTCCAACACGGGACATTCCTTTTGTTTTCCATAACTCTTCAGAGAGGATGCTTATAAAAGTTTATTTGATTGCACACAACATAAAATACTTGGACTAAAGTAAGTCAAACATAGTTTATTAGGAGAAAATGATGTAGCTCATAAAACCTAAGAAACAACTCAAGGAACAGACTTGAATTGGGCAGACACCATATCAGATCTAAGGGATTTGGGCAGCAAGAGTTAAACAACAGGAAAAAATGCTGTAATTGTCAAGCTTTTATCTTGTATTACTACAGCTCTCTATACTATAAAGATCATTCATATTTTTTGCCAGAGTACATAGCTTTAGAAGTAGATAGCTCTAATTTGAACTTCAAGTTCTACATTTACTAGAAAATTTCCTGGCAAATAACTTGACTCCACTGAAGATGCATCTCTTCCTATGGTGATAGGATTTTTTTTTTCTAGCCAAACAACACTTTATTTTTCCAGTCAACACTTGGACAGATGTTACTGTCCACGTCCTGACCCTAGTAGGGGGGGGTCCCACCACACTGGGAACATCCATGGCCCCTAGAGAGCAGTCTCTTTAAACCTTCCTAGGATAGTAAGAAAGCCCTTCATCCCAACAGGATGGAGCTGTTGCTCACTAATGCAGTGCTGGTGCACGTGCTGTGGGATTCCCGCTCTCCTCCCTTCTCAGGGAAGGTTGGGATGAAGTAGGGCAAGGGTGTAGTGGAGTTTTTGTGAGCTACAGTGACCTAAGCGCATAACCACTGGCCTGACCTATCTTATGGAGTTGACTTGAGAATTTATTCCTGATACCTAGAAGATGCTCAATAAATGGTGTTGCTGATAACACAGTAGTAACTACTGACTATCTGGGTAGTGTCTTTATCAACAAGAGAAGTCTGTTGGTGAAAAAATTGACTCAACAAATATTTATCGAACACCTTATTAGTACCAAAATCTGGTAGAGAGATAAGCATGCTAACGTGCAGTTACAGATCACACAATAACTACTAAAGTAGAAAAGCCATGAAGTACAGAGGAGAAACATTTGGCTCTGTCTTCCCCTGAGGGCTGAAAAGCAAGATTAGCTGAAGCAACAATAGGAGCTATATAACCACCAAAAATCCAATAAAAGTTTCCTTAGATGCATTAATTCTCTTGATCCCATGCTAACGGTTTATTTATATTTCAAGATATGTCTAACACTTGTATGCTTATGATGCCTATTTGCTGCTCTGACCCACATACATATTCTTTTACAATGAAATCAAGTTCACAAGAATTAAAATTTAAATCTTTAGTATCCTTAATGTTTTACATTCCTGTGAGTCTCATATTTAGACATTTTCTTTCTACTGAGAAAATGTAGAAAAGAAATTTTAATGTATAGCGACACTGGATTATATTTAAAATCTTATTTTACTTTCTCTTTGTGCATCAGATATTTTAAGAAATTCCAGTACTGTGGGTATGCACCACATGTGCGCAGCTGTAAACCAAACACTGATGGAATCTCTTCTCTAGAAAACCTCTTGGCAAACATTATTCAGAGAGTATTTGTCTGGGTTGTATCTGCAGTTACATGCTTTGGAAACATCTTTGTCATTTGTATGAGATCTCATATCAGGTCTGAGAACAAGCTGCATGCCATGTCAATCATTTCCCTCTGCTGTGAGTATTTCCTGATTAAAGAGGAATTACAGTTTTGAAATATATAAAAGCACTGCTATTAGAAAATAAGTAAGCAAAGTGGCAGAATTATAAGATTTTAATTTTTTCTCCTTTTTTGTTATATGTTTTCACGTTCACTATAATGAAAATAAAATTACTCGAGTGAGAAGAAAATAAGTTTTTAAAACAAGAAAATTCAATTACCTTACACAGATTAATGAAGCTCTCGCTCGTTAGTTTTCTTCCCGGAAGGCATGTTCTGTTAAAGCCTGTAAACTCATAATTTTACTATGAATAAAATGGCAACCTTTCATGGTCACATTTTTACACCTAAAGTTGTATTTACCTTTTTGCTTGCACGTCCAGATCATAGATACTGACTTGACTGAGCTGTTTTTGTGGTCTCTGAGCTACTAAAATCTTTTCCATTCATAATTTGAAATATCTAAGTAAGAAAATGTTTTTAAATAATATTAGGGTTTTTTTTTTAAGTTTTTGAAATGTGTTGCAAAGTACTATGTTAAGTGAGGATTACAAAGAAAAATAAGCAAGAAGCCAGTCGTCAGGCTGTTTATAGCATGGGTCAAGTGGCCTGTAATGTATCCATACCTTCTCTAGGGATTATCAATCTACATTACCTGCTTTACCTGTGCTGTCTATGTCTTACCTACAGGCTCATTCAACATCTAATGCCTGATTGTTTTATTCATTGCAAGCTACCTAAGAACTAGAACTCAGAAATTGTTTATATTGTTAGTTATAAAATTTTAAGTATGCTCAATTTCTTTGGTGAAGGCTAGAATATAACCTCAGTGCTTAAGGATTAGAGCCAGCTTTATGATTTATACAGTGATGTGATTTTAGACACACTGTGTAGAATGTCTGTGTGTCCAAAATTCTCACCTACACTCTGATATGAGATGTTTGCTTTTTAAGCAAAATCACCAAATAGTTCATCACATTGACAACTGATTTTGGGGATGAGAGAGCCTAAAAAGAGGCAGAGAAAGATGTAAAAATGGTTAAGAGAGAATCAAAGAGAACAGGTTTGCTTAGATCAGCGCTAAGTAAAGAACTTAGGCCCTTCAAAATTGTACTGACTACCAAACACTTCTTTTTTTTAAGATTTCATTTATTTACTTGAGAGAGAGAGAGAGAGCAAAAGAGCACAGCAGGGGGAGCAGCAGAGGGAGAGTAAGAAGCAGACTCCCCACTAAGCATGGAGCCCCACCTGGGGTTCCATCCCAGAACCCTGGGATCATGAAACTGGACTGAAGGCAGATGCTTAACCGACTGAGCCACCCAAGAGCCCCTACAGAGCACTTCTTAATTACTCTTATCTTCTAAGTTACAGACCTCAAAATTCATAGTCATTCGTTTATCACAGCAATTTCTGAATTACTTTCTCTAGGATTTTGAATGATAGCTTCAGCATGTTAAACTAGGAGCATAAAAAATAAATAAATAAATAAATAAATAAATAAATAAATAAATAAATAAATAAATAAATAAACTAGAAGCATATTTCAGCAGAAGTGATGCAAATAATAACATCCCTATATTGGTCCCTAATCGAATTCTCAACATAATTATATTTTATTCATTTACTCAACACTTCTAGGTGATGAAACCAGAAAGGAAAACAAAGTCCCTGCTCACACAGACTTGACAGTTAGAAAAAGACAGAGGAAATGACTACATAATTAGCTGTAGAGGGTGCTCCAAGAGGGGTTATCGAAGAGAGTTGATGAAGAGGTCCTTACCCATAAATGAACTATTAGGATAAAAAGTACCTCCTCCCAAGATAGAAGTAAATTAGATATTTTTTGCTAACGCTAAAAATATTACCGCTTATCATTAATTCCATGATACCTATTTATTTCTCTAAACTTGCAACACTTACTGATCCTATAGGTGCTGACTGCCTAATGGGAATATATCTGTTTGTGATCGGAGCCTTTGACCTGAAGTTTCGTGGAGAATACAACAAGCATGCGCAGCTGTGGATGGACAGTATTCACTGTCAGCTCGTGGGATCTTTAGCCATTCTGTCCACTGAAGTGTCCGTGTTACTTCTCACATTTCTGACACTGGAAAAATATATCTGCATTGTCTATCCTTTTAGGTGTTTAAGACCCAGAAAGTGCAGAACAATTACAGTTCTGATTCTCATTTGGACTACTGGGTTTATAGTGGCTCTCATTCCATTGACCAATAAGGAGTTTTTCAAGAACTTCTATGGCACCAATGGAGTGTGTTTCCCTCTTCACTCAGAAGATATCGAAAGTACCGGAGCCCAGATTTATTCGGTGGCAATTTTTCTTGGTAAGAAACTGTATTATAACCCCTTTCACTCAACTATTTATTCCAATATATAAGTCATAATTTCAATATCATAATTTCTTCTAAAGTTTATAAACTTTTATTTCAGATCTTCTAACCAGTTTTTCTCATTGACATTGAGGATGGATTCTGTCAAAATCCCCCTAAAGGAATTTTTTCCCCCTAAATTACTTTATCATATAAATTCCAACATGCTCCTTAATAAAAGGCATATATATGTGTGTATATATATTCTCAAAGTATAACTTAAACTAATTGAATTATTTTTTAAAAAAACTACAAAGATTAACTTAAAAGACCCATGATATTCACTGAATCACTATAATCTCATTTTAATATGCCAATGTTTTTTAAAGATTTTATTTATTTATTCATGAGAGACACAGAGAGAGAGGCAGAGACACAGGCAGAGAGAGAAGCAGGAGGGGAGCTCCATGGGAGACTTGATCCCAGGACCTGATAAAAGGCAGGGGATCACGACCTGAGCTAAAGGCAGACGTTCAACCACTGAGCCCCCCAGGGGCCCATAATGTGCCATTTTTAAATTAAAACTCCCTCATTCCTCATTAGTTCAACAATACTTCAAATTTCCAAAAAATTCATTATTTTTGTGTACCTTAGTAATTCTTATGAAAAACAAAAATGTTCATGTCCAAACAGCTAAGGGTATGTGTGTTTGTTTTGAAAGAATGCTCATACACATTAATAATAATCTTTGTGTCCTAAATAGGTGTTAACTTGGCGGCATTTATCATCATAGTTTTTTCCTATGGAAGCATGTTTTATAGTGTTCATCAAAGTGCCATAACAGCAACTGAAATACGGAATCAAGTTAAAAAAGAGATGATCCTTGCCAAACGGTTTTTCTTTATTGTATTTACTGATGCATTATGCTGGATACCCATTTTTGTACTGAAATTTCTTTCATTGCTTCAGGTAGAAATACCAGGTACAATTTTTTTTTCCTTCTGTAAAAAAATAAAGTCTGTTTCTCAGTGTACCTCTAAGAAAGAAAATAAAGATCCTTCATACCAACTCATTTTAAGAATTGTAAGTCAGAATTATATATACTTCAGGTTCTGTTCATCAATCAAATATTTACTGGGAGGAAGCTGTTGTTATTTCCATAAATGCCTAAAAACACTATTACCACTGGAACAAAGTAACAACTCAAATAAAAAACACTCTCTGTTTTGTAATTCTGAGAATCCCATGCTTAAGATGACCAAACAGGTAAAATTGATTATCAAATGTTTACTTCATTTTTGTCTTTTTTTTACTTCATTTTTTTGAGAACATAAGACATTTTTCTTCCCAGAATACATAGCAATTTAAAGAACATTACTCTAGAGTGTGAGAGATGATTGAAGAATGCATTCTTAGTATTTAAAAATAATGTACACCACAATCATTAGGATAGTTACTATCAAAAACACAGAAAATAACAAAAATTGGTGGGGATTTAGAGAAATTGGAACTCTTGTGCATTGCTGGTAGGAATGTAAAATAGCACAGCTGCTATAGAAAACAGCATGGTAGTTTCTCAAAAAATTAAACAGAGAAATGCCATATGACCCGGCAATTCCAATTCTGGGAATTAAAGGAATTAAAAGCAAGAACTCAAGCAAACATTGGTACACCTGTGTTCATAGCAGCATTATTCACGACAGCCAAAAGCTGGAAATAACCCAAGTGTCCGTCAATGGATGCATGGATAAACAAAGTGTGTTATACACACACAATGGATTATTACTCAGTCTTATAAAAGGAGGAAATTCTGAAACATGGTACAACATGAACAGACCCCAAAGATACCATGCTAAGTGAAATAAGCCAGTCACAAAAGGACAAACACTGTATGATTCCACTATATGAGGTAGCTAGAGTAGTCGAATTCATAGAGACAGAAAGTTTGGGAATGTGTTGCCAGGAGTTGGGAGGAAAAGGGGATGAAGTTATTGTTTAATAGATATGTAGTTTCAGTTTGGGAAAGTGAAAAAGTTCTGGAGACGGATGGTGGTGATGGTTGCATAGCAATATGAAAATACTTTAATGCCACTGAAGTGCACACTTAAAAATGATTAAAATGATACATTTTATGCTATGTGTATTTTACCACAATAAAAAAGTGCAAAATGCTGTTATTAGAGCAGTATATATTCACATTTTAAAAATTTACAAACATAAAAATTTTAATTTTGTTTTATCTTATGGTTGGTGATGATAGTATTTTACATTTTTATAAGCAACGAGAGGGAAAATAGCACCCGATAAATTATAATAACAAATCACTACAGTGATTTTTAAGATAAGTTTAGCTAAAGATGTTTTTTTATCAAAATAGCCAAAGTCTAAAAATGCATATCTATTTTTAAAACCACATAAATAACAGAAATCATCTATATATTCTACAAAATAATACATGTTCTATCCAGCAATTAAAATATTGGAAAAGGTATGATTTGAATGCTAAGCTATATTTTCCTAAAATGGAATCATATCACAATAATATATAATCACTTGGTGGAAAATGTTTCTTCTACCTAATGGAATACTTATATATTGATGCATTCAAGAAAAGCTACTTAGCAAAGAACCCTGTTTTTTTGCAGCACCAGCACTCCCCTCAAACACTGGCACCCTGGAAAGACATCCTGGAAACACATTAGACTTGGTATATAATTATGTGACATCAAAGGGAAAAAATTAAGACTCAAAAGGGGGCTGGGGGAGAAGCAAGGAAAAGGGATTTCTATATCTTGTAAACATCCATTAACACTAAAACTATTGCATTTTTCTCTTTTAGGTACCATAACCTCTTGGGTAGTGATTTTTATTCTGCCTATCAACAGTGCTTTGAACCCAATTCTGTATACTCTGACCACAAGACCATTCAAAGAAATGATCCATCAGTTTTGGTATAACTACAGACAAAGAAGATCTATTGACAGCAAAGGAAGTCAGAAAACATATGCTCCATCATTCATCTGGGTAGAAATGTGGCCACTGCAGGAGATGCCACCTGAGTTAATAAAGCCAGCTCTTTTCACAGACCCCTGTGAATTGTCACTAATTTCTCAATCAACTAGACTCAATTCCTATTCATAATGGACTCTGAAACTCATTTCTACACGGAGAATATTGTGAGATGCTTCATGATGGATTTATTAGTATGAAATGGACGCCACAAAATTAAAAATTTATGATGGCTAAGATAAAGCCATTACAAGGACATGAGGTTATTCGGGTAAAATCAGAGTGACTGAGGCTCATATAAAGGGAACTAAATTATATTGATAATGTGTATATATTAGTATGTACTTTGCATAGGAAATTAAGAGAAATCTACTTCAGAAATATTCATTCATTCTTTTACCATGCATTTATTGAGTACCCATTCTGCGCACAGCACTGCAGTAAATTCTTGGAAGTGCATAGTATAGAACCTTTTCAATTTGCAGTGTTAAATTATGTTTAGCCACAACAAAATATACAAAGACTATCTGCAGTTCTTAGTTTAAGGTAGAGCTTTGTCATGCACATCAGCAAACATAATAGTCATGGACAGTTCTAAATAAAGTTTTAAGGCTTTGGAATATTCAGTATAATGAAAAATGAGAAAATGTCTGATTATTTACGAACTAGATGTTTTAAGAATTCATCTTACCTCTCTTGAAGTCCCCATACACTTGGGAGGTAATACAAGATATTTATTACTCTGAGAAAAGATGTTCTGATATAAATTCAAAGTAGTACTTCTCTGTGCATCCTCATATTTATAGTCAATTGATTTTCCACAAAGATGCCAAGACAATCAAATGAAGAAAGAACTATCTTTTCAACAAATGATGCTGGGACAACTGGATTTTCACTTGCAAAAGATTGAATTTGGATCCTGACCTTCTAGCATATACAAAATCAACTTCAAATTAGTGATCAACCTAAATATAAGACATAAAACTCTTAGAAGAAAACATGGGGGTAAATCTTCAAGACCTTGGATTCAGCAATGGATCCTTAGATGTGACAACAAAAGCATAAGTAACAAAAGAGGAAAAAATTAATAAATTAGACTTCATCTAAATTAAAGACTTTTGTGAACCAGAGAATGTTATCAAAAAGGTAAAAATACAGGGTACCTGGCTGGATCATTTGGTGGAGCATGTGACTCTTGATCTTGGGGTTATAAAGCCAAGCCCCACCTTGGGTATAGAGATTACTTAAAAATAAAATCTTTAAAAAAACAAAAAGACAACTACAGAACGAAATATTTGCAAATCATATATCTGAGAAAGATTTAATACCCAGAATATATAAAGAACTATTAGAACTCAACAAGATAAACCACCCAATTTAAAAAGTGGGCAAAGAATTTAAGAAGACATTTCTACAAACAAGATATACAAATGCAGGAGATGCCTCCTGAGTGGCAATAAGTGCCAATAAGCACTTGAAAAGTTGCTCAACATCACTAATCATTAGAAAAATGAAAACCACAATGAGATAGATTTCACTTTATACCTAATAGAAAGGCTATAATTAAAACAAAAGGAAAAAAAAGAGAAAATAAGTATTGACAAGGACATGGAGATTCAAAGTCTTCTGCATTGCTGGTTGGAATGTAAAATGATGCAGCTGCTATAGAGAACAGTTTGGTGGTTCCTCAAAAGCTTCATAGAATTACCATACAACCCAGCAATTTCACTCTGGGTAAACCCAAAAGAATAGAAAACAGGATTCAAACAGCTACTTGTATGCAAATGCTCAGTGCCAAAGAGCGGAAACAACACAAATGCCCATCAACTAATAAACAGATAAACAAAATGTAGTAGGTACATACAATGAAATATTATTCAGCCACTTACAAGGATGAAGTTCTGACACATGCTACAACAGGAGTATAAATAAGCCAGACACAAAAGGACAAATACTATATGATTCTACTTACATGAAATATCTAGAAGTGAATTCATAGAGACAGAAAGCAAATTAGAACTTATTGGGGGCAATTGGGTTGAAAAGATACTGCCTAAAAAGTACAGAGTATCTTCTGGGGCAAAGAAAGCTTCTCAAATTGACTGTGGTGATAGATAAACAACTCTGTTGAAGAGTACGCTTTAGATGGGTGAATTCTATGGTGTGTGAATTCGATCTTGATAAAACAATTAAAAAGGGAAATAAAGAAGAGCTAAAATGCACTGATTCATGAAGGAAGGAAAGAAAGATCTGCACGTAGATGTTTTACTTCAAAGAGGAAGTAGTTGTCATCAAGAGACGGATTGACCTTCCTTTTGCATGGTGGCCAGTTCATGAGATATTCTTCTAGGCTCTTAACTGAGCTATTGGAATTTTTTGCTTTCATAATTTGAAATCTTCAAATAGGAATAAAATGTTTTGTTACTTTTAAAACACCAAAAATGTTTGAAATATGAAAATACTGGAATCAAAAAATTATTTATTGAGTATATAATTGTATAGATTTCTTTTGAAAGTAAATTGCCTGAACTTTAATTCTATTAAAAATATGGATTACTTTGAGTCCTTTCCATTCTTACTTGGAATAATACCAATAAATTTTCTACATGAGGAATATTGTTAGGCTTTCAACAGAAATCAGAGAATAATAGAAAGCTAAGTATGTAAACATTAAAAACAAGGTCAGGCAAACCATCTGCCCTCAGCTTAGGTCATGATCCCAGGATCCTGGGATGGAGTCCAACACTGGGTTCCCTGCTCAGCAGGGTATCTGCTTCTCCCTCCACCCTACTCCCCTGCTCATGCTCGCGCGCTCTCTCTCTCTCTCTCTCTCTCATGTTCACTCTCTTTCAAATAAGTTTTAAAAAAATTCAAAAATTTTTTAACCGCTGATAAGATGTAGAGTACCTTTATGACATCGCCTATGAAAGATCCAGAAAGCACTATCATGAAAAATTGGTAAGATTTCATTCAATTAAAAACCTTTATTTAAGAAAACTGCACAAATACAAATAACTACAAAAGATAGATAACATAGTTAACAGACCATTAGTATTCAAAATACATAATACCTACAAATTGACAAGGAAAAGACAAAACATAATAGAAAAATGGACAAAGGTATGCATAGCCTCAGAAATCACACACTACATTCTTCAAGCTCCTACTAGTTATGTAAGTCAGCACTACCCAATACGTGAGACGACACAAGGGCATGCATACCAGGAGGCCGCCCACTGTGGCTATCTGGAGGCCACCTACCACATACACAAAACAATATTTTGTAGTACTTTGAAAACATACATATGCATTAAAAATAAAAGAACACAAACTATAAAATACACTTTTAGGACCATGGTTACCTCTGGGGAGAAAAGCAGGGGGGAGGGGGGAGAATGGGACCAACTGACACAAAAAGGTAACAAAAAAATTTACAAATGTATCTAACATTACAAACATAGGTAGGTCAGAAGAAAGTACAGCCAAATGCTAACATTTATTAAATCTGCATGGTGGGAATAGATCCTCTAATGTTTTACTCATGTGTTTGAAACATTTCAATAAAAAGTTTTAAAATAATGAACCAAAGAAATGGAAATAAAACTCGCTTTGAACACATTTATTTCTGTACATCTTAAAAACTGCAGTTTTGATGACACAGAAGAAAAATATTTTTCTAATATCAAAATAAGTATCTCTTTGGTATAAACACATCATATGTGTTATCTTTAACTTAAAAATTTAATCAAGTACTATGACCTAATATACTAAACAATAGCATTCTTTGTGCATCTATTTGTTCCTTTTCATAACCCCACTCTAGGGCCTTAGAATACAGTTCTGCACACATCTCCATATCTACAAAAGAATTACGATGCGTATCAAAGATATCTAGAAGTTCTGGAGAATTAGCTGGCTTAATCACTGACACATATGACACAAACCAAAAAAGAAAAATAGAACAACATTAGATATGGGACAAGTAGAACACTGTCATTAAAGTCAAATAATATGAAACCAATCACATCATTTAAATTTGATCCATTAAAACAGTATCTTTAGAATTATTATATTTAGAATTATGTGCAAAATTCAAAAAGGGTACAGAGCCATAATTTTGATAAGGCACTTTAAAAAGAACATACAACATCACAAAGCATGTAACCTGAGAAACAGAGAAAAATATATATATATATACATTCTTTCTAGACAGCTTTCATTTTCTGAAAAACTTTTTTAAAATGCATCATGAAGGATGAAGGATAAAAAACATTTACCATATATTTTTAAAAGTTGTCATCAGTTAAATATCAAACCCCGTAAAAAAAATAAATAAAATAGAAATTTCCTTCAAGTCAGTGAGGTTCTGATTCAAATATTTTTTTGAAAAACAATTACAATTTTCACGCTAAAAACAGGAAGAAAAAAAAACAGCTTTTAATTGTACTGTCAACTCTTTTATTCATCAAACATTTACTGGTTGTTGTGTGACACTACCCTTGTTCTAGGTGCTGGGGATAAAGAAGACAGACACAATCATTAGTTCCAGGGAACTTGGCCTAGTGGAGCTAGACCAACACTAGTAGCCTTAAAGTTATTTCCTTTGGTCCATAAAATGAAGCTCAACTTCAAACTCGGGCATTTTCAGCATCTTCTTGGAAATCAATAGAATGCTCTACCTGTTTTTTCTACTGGTAACACTGTGGCATTATTAACCTTATCTACTGATGAAATAACTTTCATAAAAGATTCTATGAAAGTTTAGAGAACAGAAAGTATTTAAAGATAGATATTGGCCAGCATCAAAAATAGCATCGGTATTCTGCTTTCACAAAAGTGAAGAAAACAAACAAAAAAAAAACTGCATTCTGAATACACAGACTGCTGGAGACAACCTTATACTTATGGTACACATGCAAACACCATAAATGAGCAAGTATGAATTATCACACTAAATTATCACATTATCAGTTGTCAGGCTTCAAAGAATCATAGCCTTCTTTCAAGAGGTCCCGCCAGGTTTTAAGGAAGCGTGCATTTTCTGTACATTTGAAGGCAAGCTCTTCCACTTGAGCTGATACTGCAGATGTGGCTTCAAGAAGTTTGGTTAATGAAAATGCTGCCTGAAATTTAATGAAAACAAAACAAAACAAAACAAAAATAGAGTCAATATCAAACACCAGATCTTTCCAAAAACCTAAGAAATTCTTTAATATGACGTAAGTTTTGAGGAATATGTCTGCTGGAAGGACATCCACTATGTACCAGACATAACAAGTTAGTACCTTTTTTTTAAAATTGAAAATACACTAGGGCACCAGGTTGGCTCAGTCCTAGAGCAAGCGACGACTCTTGATCTCAGTGTTGTGAGTTCAACCCGACATTGGGTGTAGAGATTATTTAAAAAAAAAAAAAGTCTTTAAAAGAAAGAAAATAGGGATCCCCGGATCCCCCGGGGTTTAGCCCCGCCTTCAGTCCAGGGCCTGATCCTGGAGACCCGGGATCGAGTCCCACGTCGGGCTCCCTGCATGGGGCCTGCTTCTCCCTCTGCCTGTGTCTCTGCCCCCCCCCTCTCCTTTCTGTGTATTCTCATGAATAAATAAATAAAATCTTTAAAAGGAAGAAAATACATCAGACTCTCATTAAGATAAAAAAAAAAAAAAAAGAGGACTTGGATCCCTAGACACTAAGCTCCAGAAGCCTCTGAAGGGCTTCCTTCATCATAAACAACTGCCTGGCAGGTGACAGGAGTAGCGTCCCACTAATTTAACCTGTGAACACTGCTTACACCATGAAAATGCATAGACCAAAGAACAAAAAGACACTCGGAACGGACAAATAACATCAACAAAACCAAAACAAACAAGAGCAGCAGACACAAAATATCCAACTCTTGATGCAATTCACTTCTTATTCAAACGTTTTTTCTTCCCTATTAATCTAACATAACACTGCTCCTAGATAACATATCAGCGGTCCACTCTACATATTCTCCTGATAACCAGTCCCGTTCAGCGAAAACTGAAGCTGTGTCAGCACTTTGATCATCTTGAAAACAAAACAAGACGGAAATGCACACGCTTGCTGAGCGAGGAGCAACGCTCCACCTGCACGGGGGTCCAGGGGGTCGAACCTGCAAGCACACAGTTCTGCGGAGGACTGCACCCCGCGGACCTCATTCGCTTGCCTCCCCGCCCCCGGAGTGGGTGTGCGAGGGGGTGTGCCCGCGGCATTAGGAGATGCAACGGACACCGTGGGGCTCGGGCCCAGCCGTCAAGGAAACCAATCTGGGCCACAGGAGCCCTAAGGGAGCCAGCCCTAAAACGGGGTGCAGCACGCCCGAGGCCCGCGGCCCGGGCACCCGGCGGGCGGCCACCCAGAGCCGCGGGGTCTTGCGATGGGGGGGGCTGGCGAGCCCCCGCGAGCCGGCGGCCCTCCCCTCCCTCGGCCGCCGGCTCGCGGCCCTCCCCTCCCCAGCCCCCTCCCTCTCCTCCCCTCCCCGCCGCCGGCTCGCGGCCCTCCCCTCCCCAGCCCCCTCCCTCTCCTCCCCTCCCCGCCGCCGGCTCGCGGCCCTCCCCTCCCCAGCCCCCTCCCTCTCCTCCCCTCCCGCGGCCGCCGGCTCGCGGCCCTCCCCTCCCCAGCCCCCTCTCCTCCCCTCCCGCGGCCGCCGGCTCGCGGCCCTCCCCTCCCCAGCCCCCTCCCTCTCCTCCCCTCCCCGGCCGCCGGCTCGCGGCCCTCCCCTCCCCAGCCCCCTCCCTCCCCTCCCCTCCCCGCCGCCGGCTCGCGGCCCTCCCCTCCCCAGCCCCCTCCCTCTCCTCCCCTCCCGCGGCCGCCGGCTCGCGGCCCTCCCCTCCCCAGCCCCCTCCCTCCCCTCCCCTCCCCTCCCCGCCGCCGGCTCGCGGCCCTCCCCTCCCCAGCCCCCTCCCTCTCCTCCCCTCCCCGCCGCCGGCTCGCGGCCCTCCCCTCCCCAGCCCCCTCCCTCTCCTCCCCTCCCCGGCCGCCGGCTCGCGGCCCTCCCCTCCCCAGCCCCCTCCCTCCCCTCCCCTCCCCGCCGCCGGCTCGCGGCCCTCCCCTCCCCAGCCCCCTCCCTCTCCTCCCCTCCCGCGGCCGCCGGCTCGCGGCCCTCCCCTCCCCAGCCCCCTCCCTCCCCTCCCCTCCCCGCCGCCGGCTCGCGGCCCTCCCCTCCCCAGCCCCCTCCCTCTCCTCCCCTCCCGCGGCCGCCGGCTCGCGGCCCTCCCCTCCCCAGCCCCCTCCCTCCCCTCCCCTCCCCGCCGCCGGCTCGCGGCCCTCCCCTCCCCAGCCCCCTCCCTCTCCTCCCCTCCCCAGCCCCCTCCCTCCCCTCCCCTCCCCGCCGCCGGCTCGCGGCCCTCCCCTCCCCAGCCCCCTCCCTCTCCTCCCCTCCCCGGCCGCCGGCTCGCGGCCCTCCCCTCCCCAGCCCCCTCCCTCCCCTCCCCTCCCCGCCGCCGGCTCGCGGCCCTCCCCTCCCCAGCCCCCTCCCTCTCCTCCCCTCCCCGGCCGCCGGCTCGCGGCCCTCCCCTCCCCAGCCCCCTCCCTCTCCTCCCCTCCCCGCCGCCGGCTCGCGGCCCTCCCCAGCCCCCCCTCCCCCCTCCCTCCCCCCCTCCCGCGGCCGCCGCGAGCGTCGGGACCGGCCGCCCACACTCACGTCTCCGATCTGCAGCTCCACCTCCTCCAGCGGGTCCGCCGACCGGTCGCGGCCGCTGCTCGGAGCCGGCCAGCCCGACCTCCCCGGAACGCCGGGGAAGAGGCTGACGAGGCCTCCGAAGACAAGGGGGAGGAGGGGGGCGGCGGGGGCGGCGAAGAGACCCGCGCCTCCTCGGGGGCCGCCATCGAGCGGGGCTGGGACCGCGGGTCGGAGCCCGGCAGCCCGACCCACACCCTCCGCCGTTCAAACCGCTCGCGCCCAGCGCCCGGAAGCCCCGCCTCTCCCGCCCGAAGCCCCGCCCGGCCTCCGCGGGGCTCCCTGCCCAGGGCCGCGGAGGCCGGTCATTTTTTTCCGGACGCCCAATCAGAGGTCAGTTCGTTCACCTTGGGGCAGTTCATCGCTCCTGCGCAAACTCCAGTGAGGCTGCGAAGGCGCCTGGGTTAGAGGACTACAACTCCCAGAATGCTGTGGGCGTCGCTCCGCCACCCCTCCCCCCGCACACGCACAAACACTACTTTTGATGCGCACCCATAAACCGCGGGATCTGTGAGTCCCTCTCACCCGCCCTCCCGCGGCCTCGCCACGCCTTGCTGAGACGCGAACGGAGAACCAATCCTCAGCCTGACGCCGGGGCCTGCTGGGACTTGGAGTTCTTTTCCCTTGCCCGCCTCGGCACCTGACCCGGAAGTCCCTGCCGCCCGTGAGCGTCACGTGTGGCGCCGGCGCACAGCGACAAGGAGGCGGGGCCGTGGGGAAGCCGAAGCCGCGGGCAGCGCGGGGAGGTGGGCTGCCGCCGAGGTGTCGGCGTTTCCCGGCGAGTGATGGCGCCCCCCGCGGCCTAGAGGTCGAGGCGCGCGGCGAGCCGCAGGCGGCCCCGGGACCCGTGAAGATGTCGGTGCGGCTGGCCAAGCTGCCCTGCGCGGGTGAGAGGGGGCGCGGGGCGCGGGACGGGCAGGGCCGCCCCAGCTTGAACTAGGGCAGAGGTCGTGCGGCGGGCACCTCGCGGGCACCTCGCGGGCACCTCGCGGGCGCCTCGCTCCCTCCGCTCGGAGGGAGGGGCTTGGAGGACCCGACGACTGGGCCGGAGGTCACGCGCGGCGGGGGAACCTTCCCGACCCTCTAGGGACCCTTACCCGGAGCTCGGATCCTGTCCCGCCTGTGGTCTTCGCGGCCCTCCTCCCTCCTAGTCCATTCTTGAGAACGTGGAGTCTGATAGATAGATACATAGATCTAAATAAATAAATAAATCTAAATAAATAAATGAGTAAAGCTAAATAAATAAATAGAACTAAAATAAAACTAAATAAATAAATAAAACTAAAATAAGACTAAATGAATAAATAAAACTAAAATAAATAAGTAGAAACTAAATAAATAGAACTAAAATAAAACTAAATAAATAAATAGAACTAAATAAATAAATAACTAAAAACTAAATAAATAAAAACTAAATAATTAAAAACTAAAATAGATAAATAAAAACTAAATAAATTTAAAAACTTAATAAATAATAAATAAATAAATAAATCTATCTATGTTGACGTCTGACCTGCAGCCCTCCTCCCTCCTAGTCCATTCTTGAGAACTTGGAGTCTGGAAAAAGATAGATAGATAGATAGATAGATAGATAGATAGATAGATAGATAGATAGATAGATAAGAAGAAAGAAAAAAGAATAAAAAAGAACTTGAAGTCTGACATGCGGCCCTCCTCCCTCCTAGTCCATGCTTAAGAACTTGAAGTCTGAAAATAATAAGAAAGAAAGAAAGAAAGAAAGAAAGAAAGAAAGAAAGAAAGAAAGAAGAACTTAAGTCTGACCTGTCACATCGTGATTAACACAGTATGCGCTGCCCAGGTCTCCAGAGTGTATCTGGGGCCAAGAGTTTTTAATCCGTTGTGTCTAAAATTAACTTTAGAGGCTGAGGATGTTATATGGCTGCTCCTGGAACCATCACAGTGACTTGTGAAAACACCCTGTTACCTTCCCTTTCTCCTGAGTAAAAAAGAATAATTATGATGCAGTTGGAATGCTCTTTGTTTTGTTGTACCTAAAAACAAACAAACAAAAAAAAAAGCTTAAACATTCAAAAAGATTTCACTACGGTGGGTGGGAGAGTCTTGAATTTTGTCACATTTGTCTTAGTTTTTTAGCGTTGGTTTCTTGAAGTTAATTTTTGGTCATATACACAAATATACATTAACTGCAAATTCAAGGCTGTTCTTATTAGGTACGTTTCATGAAGGTGGTAGTTGTCAGATTTGGCCACCAGATGTTAAATTAGGATTTTGTTTAAAGTTCCTGATACTCGTTCGTGTAATTACCACACCGAATGTGTAGATCTGCCTTATGTTTTTGTGAAATATCAAAGGAGTGAGCTGCTATCTGGCCCACTGCCTAATTCAGCTGAAATTATTCTTTGGCCGGGGGTTAACTACAGTCCACCAAAATTAGCATTTCCATTCTCCTTGGATACTTAAATCCTTGCCATTTTCATAGCTCTGTGTCAACACTACTGGCAACAAAGAGATGGACACAAATGTTTTGGCAGTGTGACTTTGATACCATGACGCTCTGAGTTCAATGGACTTTTTGACCTTAGCTCTCTACCCAAACTCAGCCGAGGTGCCTAACTGTTTAACTGTCTAAAGTGGGATATCAGATTTGTTTTCAGAAAGGAACTAAAGGTCGTGACCAAGATTTTTTTTTTAAGATTTTATTTATTCATTCATGAGAGACACAGGCAGAGACACAGGCAGAGGGAGAAGCAGGCTCCACGCAGAGAGCCCAACGTGGGACTGGATCCCAGGACTCCAGGATCATGACCTGGGCCAAAGGCACGTGCTAAACCGCTGAGCCACCCAGGGATCCCCGTGACCAAGATTTCTAATTTTTATCTCCTAGGCGAAATCTGAACTGCCCAAGTCCAGATATTCTCAAGAAAATAAGTAGCTGTATAAGCAATAGAATTAGTTTTATCTGATATCAGATCATCAGTTTTCAGCAGCAAGTGGTAACTTCTATATACTAAACTAGGATTCATCATAAGACAAAGATTTTTAATATCTTCTAATAATAAATAATACAAATGATTATTATTTTCTTTTAAGATTTTATTTATTTATTCATGAGAGAGAGAGAGGCAGAGGAATATGTGGGACTCGATCCCGGGACCCCAGGGTCACGCCCTGAGCCGAAGGCAAATGCTAGGGATCCCCCCCTAGTTACAGTTTTCACTGTAATTTAAGAACCTGCAAATCTGGGATCCCTGGGTGGCGCAGCGGTTTGGCGCCTGCCTTTGGCCCAGGGCGCGATCCTGGAGACCCAGGATCGAATCCCACGTCGGGCTCCCGGTGCATGGAGCCTGCTTCTCCCTCTGCCTGTGTCTCTGCCTCTCTCTCTCTCTGTGTGTGTGTGTGACTATCATAAATTTAAAAAAAAAAAAAAAAAGGACCTGCAAATCTCTAGTGTAATTTCAAAAAACTGACATGGGTTATACAGCAATAATAATAATGAGGCCTTGTTTTTAACTCATAATGTCTCTTATAATGAATGATGTATTTGCAATGTATCTGCAAATAAACAAATACCTAAACATGGACTGTAACAAATAGTAAAGATCAACAAAGACTTTCCCATGTATTTGAAATATATAATAAAATTTACATTTTAATGGCCATACTGAACAGTTAACAATTTAAAATTATAATATCACTCCCTATCTTTCATGTCCTTATGAGAATTGTGGGGCAGCTACAACTCCATTTACAGCAGACACTGGGAATTCAGACAATACCACCCAACTTCTCAATCCTTCCAACATCAGTCAAGCTTTGAGACTACTATTGAATTTGAAATGATCTGTGAAATAATGAAAACTAAGCTGTGATGAAAACAAGATTTTTTTTTTCTTTTTTCTGATTAAATGGAAAGGTAACAGCCTGGCATAGGCTAGTTATTCTTTAGTACCCAACTGCAGAATTAACATATTTTTATGTTTTACTCTTTACAATAAAATACTTTTTTTAAAGTAAAAACTGGCATCAGAAATCAATAATTAAAGATGAATATAGAAAGAGATTGAGAGTGAACTCTAAAGACTTTTAAGCAGTAAAAAACCCTATTTTTGATCATTTTAAAGCGGCAAGGAAACTAATTTTCTCTATGTGCAAAGGCATACTAAAAGTTATAGTATTGGGAATAATATTTTAATTGTTAGGTAACCTTTCACATATCCTAAATCTTGAAAAATGTACATGGGATACATAAATAAAGATATTCTAGAATTCAGTTCTAGAGTTCAAATACAGCATTGTCCTCATTCAACGGAATATTTATTAAATAATCATTTGGGGACACCTGGGGGCTCAGTGGTTGAGTGCCCGCCTTCGGCCCAGGGCGTGATCCTAGAGCCCCGGGATTGAGTTCCACATCAGGCCCCCTGCGTGGAGCCTGCTTCTCCCTCTGCCTGCGTCTCTGCCTCTCTCTCTGTGTCTCTCATGAATAAATAAATAAAATATTAAAAAAAAATAACTGTAACTAGGAAGATCTCTATATAGTTATCAAATATGTATTAGCCACTTGATTTGTGTAAGAGTCATACTAGATCCTATACCAAAATATGGACAAAGTTGACCATAGACTTTAGAACTGGTGGGATGAGAGTTCAAATACTTGCTGAAGGTTTCATTGCAGTTAATGAATTCAAACACAAGGTAGACTCCAAAACCTATGCACTTAACCTCTGCCTTTTTCCATGTTGCCTTTTTCTATTTATTTACCTTGTTTTTAGTTAATAAAGTTAATTTTTTGGCAGTTTTAGGTTTGAAGAAAAGTTGAGCAGAAAACAATTTCCATATGACTTTCCCCCATTCCCTATTAACATCTGGCATTAGTGTGGTACATTTGTTGCAGTTGGTGAGCCAGTTTTGATACATCATTATTCAAATCCCTAGTCTATATTAGAGTTCACTCTTTATATTGTACATTGTATGTGCATTTGACAGATGTGTAATGACATGTATCCCTCATAAATTGCATTATCACATAGAATAGTTTGCTCCCCAAACCCCCTGTGTTGCACATATTCATCCCTTCTTCATTCTTCCTGAACGCATGGCAACCACTTATCCTTTTTTCTTCTTAAGATGTTACTCATTTGAGAGAGAGAGCATGAGAGAAGGAGCAGGGGGAGGGGCAGAGGGAGGAGATTTCCCACTGAGCAGGGAGCCCAAGTGGGGCTCAAACCCAGGACTCCTGAATCATGACCTGAGCTGAAGGCAGACACTTAACTAGCTGAGCCACCCAGATGCCCCAACCACTGACCTTTTTAATGTCCCTATAATTTTACCTTTTCCAGAATGTCATACAGTTGAAATCATGCAGTATGTAGATTGGCATTTTCAGATTGGCTTTTTTCAATATGCATTTAAGTTCCCTCCGTGTTTTTTCACATGTTTATGTCTAGTAGTTCATTTCTTTTTAGCAGTAAGTAATATTCCACTGTATGGTTGCACCCCAGCATATCTGTTTATCCATTCATCTATTGAAGGACATCTTCCAAGTTTTGACAATTATGAATAAAACTGCTATACACATTCATGTTAAGGGATTTTTTTTTTAACCTGGGCATTTTCTTTCTTTTATTGGGATAAGAACTCTTAACATGAGATGAACCCTCTTGACAGATTTTTAAGTACATTATTGTTAACTATACGTACAGTGTTGAACATTAGATCTCTAGAGCTTATTCATCTTGCTTGACTGCAGGTTTTAAATGTGAAGGGATACAACTGCTGGATCATTTGTTGAGTGTATTTAGCTTTGTGAGAAATGCCAAACTATCTTCCAAAGTGGCTTACCATTTTGCAGTACCACCAGCAATGAATGAGAGTTGCTGTTGCTCCACATCCTTGTTTTCTCCTAATCTTCTTTGTGTGTGATTATAAATGTTCTTTTTTCAATAACAGTTTTATTGAGATCTGTCACGTACTATACAATCATATCATCTAAAATATACAACTCAATGGTTTTTAGTATAAGCACACAGTTGAGTTGTGCAACCATTACCACAGTCTATTTGAACACATTTCCATCACCCCAAAAAGAAACTTTACACTCATTAGCAGTCACTCTTCAACCTCTCCAGGCCTAGGGCAACTACTAATCTATTTTCTGTCTCTGCAAATAGGTCAGTTTGGGATAGTTTATACACATGGAATTATATGTGGTCCTTTCATAGCTAGCTTCTTTCACTTAGCATAGTGTTGTTTATCAGCAGCAAAAAGGAGTTCAGTAGTGATACATGTTCGTTGCTAAATAATATTCCATTTTATGAATATATCACTTTTTTGTCCATTCACAGACATTTGGATTTTTTCTATACTTTGGCTGTTATGAATAATCTGTCTATGAAGATTCATGCAGGTTTTTGTGTTTTTTCATTTATCTTAGGTATATACCTAGGAGAGAGTTATGTGGAAACCCCAAACTTAAATGTTTTGAGGAATTGGTAGACTGTTTTCCAAAGTGTCTGCACCATTTTACATTCCTACCAGCTGTGTATGAGGGTTCCAGTTTTTCCACATCCTCATCAACACTTGTTACTATCCCTCTTACTGCTTATAATCATCCTAGGGGATACAAAATATTATCTCATCGCGGTTTTTGATTTGTATTTCCCTGACAGTTAATGATGTTGAGCATCTTTTTATGTGCCTATTGGCCACTTGTATATCTCCATTAAGGAAAGGGCTATACAAATTCTTTGTTTTTTAACCAGGTTGTCTTTTTATTATTAGAAATGAGTATATTATATATACTTGATGCAAGTCCTTTATCAGGTAGAGGATTTGCAAATATTTTCTCCCATTCAGTAGGTGATCTTTTCACTTTCTTCATGGCATCCCTTGAAGACAAAAGGTTTTTGTTTTGTTCAAGTGCAGTTTCTTTTCTCTTTTGTTGGCTTGCGTTTTTTGGTGTCATAGCAAAGAAACCATTGCTTAATCCAGGGTCACAAAGATTTATACCAATGTTTTTTTAAAAAATTATACCATTTGCTCTTAACATTTGGGTCTTTGGAGCTTTTTGAGTTAACTTTTGTATCACTATAATCTTTATTTTTTCACTTTATATTTACAGAAGTGTGTTGCAAAGATAACACAGAGTTCCCATATACCATTTGCTCAGCTTAACTCCTTACATAACCATAGTACCATTATCAAAACCAAGAAATTGACATTGATGCAGTACTATTAACTAAACTACTGACTTTATTTGAATTTCCTTATTCTGGTCCAGGATCTAATCTGGGACACCACGTTGTTTTTAGTTGTCATATCTTGTTAGTCTACTTCAATGTGACAGTTCCTCTGTCTTTTCTTGTCTCTCATGATCTTGATACTTTCAATATATACTGGCCAGTCATTTTGTAGAATGTCCCTCAATCTAAATTTTCTAATGATTTCTTATGTTTAGACTGAGGTTATAGATTTTGGGGAAGTATGCCACAGGGTAAAGAATTCTTATTTCAGGGAGTGTGTGATACCAACATGTCTTATTGCCAATAGTGTTAAACTTGATCATTTGGTTAAAGGGTTTGCTATATTTCTCTACTGTAAAATTAATATTTTTCCTATTCATACTCTACTTATTAGAAGCTAGTCATTAATTGCAGTCCACACTCAAAAAAGTGTAGAAACAAATCTGTAGCAGTATCAACATCATCTTTTATGCTTTGACTTTTTCTGCTAAAATCATAGACCAAATGGAATTCATTTTGATAAAGAAAAGTATACTTTTTTCCAAATGACTTTTTCCCTATCTTTGACCATTTAATGAGTAACCAGTTCCTCTCCCTGATTAGAAATGGCATCTTTATCATACACCAAATCCTTAATGTGTATTCTATTTCTGAACTCTTTATTCCTTTCCTTTCTTTTGATTATTCCATCTCTTCTCCTATAACAGACTTCTAATTATTATAGCTCTCTATATAAGTTTTTATATGTTAGAGCTATTCCCAAGGGAGGATTGTCTTTTGTGTGTGTGTGTGTGTGTGTGTGTGTTTGTGTGTGTAATGGGAAAGAGTATTAAGAAGAGTACCAGAGAAGGGAGACAGAAATTAAAGATACAGGTGAAAGGGAAGGCTTCAGATGAAGGGATGTCCCTAAGAAAACGTGAGGGAATAAGCCTCATCACCCAGGTGGAAGGATTAATGTAATTGAAGAGAAAAGACATCTGTTATAACCTGAGAGAATGAACAAAGAGTGGATACAAATACAGATGACATTAGAGGTTGTTGCCAAGGAAATAGGAAAGTTCTCACCTAATTGCTTCTATTTTTCTGTTATGTTTGGTGGTGTGTTAGGGTATCTGCTTCAGATAAGGGAAGGAGAGGAGATAGAATTGAAGGTTTAAGGAAAGCAGGGGTTTAATGAACATTATTGCAGATAAATCTTTGCATGCTTCTCTTTATTTCTATTTGCTAACTTAATGAATATGTACATTTTTAAGGCTCTCAGATGTTGCCATATGGGAGAGTCAGTGTTTTAAAGAGCTGACCATAAAACCTAGTTTGCCCACATTGTCCCAGCATAATCATCAATACTGCCTGTTACTACTCTCAAAAGTACCCAGTTTGGTAAATTATATAGTCATCCTATTTATAGGTTAATCTTAATATGAGCTAAATGGGATATATTAGTTTATTAGGAACTTTTAACATATAATTTGAAAACATTGCTCTATGAGAAGAAGCTAAGTTCATTTAGGAAATAATACGGTCTGTTTCAGTTCATATCACAACTAATGCCTCAACAGCATAGATCTAAATTAACTGAATGTCTGCAATGTTGATAAGGTTGGAATATAAACACAAATTTTTAAGTATAAGATATCACATGGAATCATATAATTCTAGATCAAGAAATTACTATCGAGATCATCTAGTGACCCTTTTTTGGATGATGATACTGAAATCTAGAGAGATTAATGATTTAAGATCTTAGGGCTGATTATTAGAAAATTAAAAAGAAATCAGATCTGATTCCCAATCCTAGAATTTTTTTCCTTTTAAAAAATGTTTTTTCAGCCTACTCCTAAGGAAAACTAATTGAAAAAATAATAATAATGTTCATAATTTTTATACAGCATATCAGTGCTTTCATGCCTTAAAAATTAAGAAAAGTTATCTACCTCTGTGTCATGCAAGATGGTCTTCAACTTCTGTTGTACCTCGAATTACTACCCACTATACTATTTATCCCCGGGATACGGACAAGCGATGGGAAGGTAAGTAATAATTTCTGTAGATGTGTTAGGCTTTTCTAGATACTTTGTATCATTTTGTGCAGAGAAAGATTTTTCATGATAGTATAAAATCATCAAATAATATTTCATAGCTTTACCAAATCTATTACACATTGATAATGAGATAAGCAAATATTTGCTAAGTTTATAGTAGTAAATCTCAAAGCCAAAAGGGGGTTTATGGAAGCAAAATTAAGATCTACACTGGAACAAAACCTAAGAGAACATCCAATTAATACAATAATATATTTAGTGTAATTCTCATGCAAAGTGGAGGGACAATCTCTATAAATGCTCTAAAGCATAGTGAGTATTTGTAAGCCAGTTTGTGATTTTTATCAGATCATACTCATCCCAGAATTTTCATGTATTTTTTTAAACATTTTTCCTCCCAGGAGTGAACATGGAGAGGTTTGCAGAAGAAGCAGATGTAGTTATAGTTGGTGCAGGCCCTGCAGGACTTTCTGCAGCTGTTCGTCTAAAGCAATTGGCTACTAAACATGAAAAGGACATCCGTGTGTGTCTAGTAGAGAAAGCTGCTCAAATAGGAGCTCATACTCTCTCAGGGGCTTGCCTTGATCCACGTGCTTTTGAAGAATTATTCCCAGACTGGAAGGAGAAGGGAGTATGAAAAATTGGTTTTTATACAAAGTGTACTCTTTATCGTATCTCTATTTCCAAACTACTAGAATATGGAAAAAACCCTTTTTATGTAATTCTGTTTCTTAGAGGATTGTTATAGATAAGTTTTTTTTAACTTAAAAAGAGCCAAAAAATTGAATCATATCAACTATACTTATAATTTTAAGATATTAACTCATTTATTTGTATAATGCCTCCTACACGTTGTATTTATCTACTGGATTTATGAGAAGGCCTTATCTGGAGAAGATTTTAGAATATTTGTACCAAATAAAATAACAGCATTTTGATTTTGAGGATTATTTCCTAACTCGATCCGTAAGTGTTTCTATCATTGTTCTTCATGAAGTTCTATATACATTTCCTGGAACATTGTAATATCTAAAGCCAAAGAAGGTAATCTAATCAAATGTTCTAAAGAAATAAATTAATATGGCCTCTCATAACCTAAGGAGAAAAGGCACTGGTATGATATGCAAAGAACTGAATGTTAGTTTTACTGCTTTCATAATTTGTATGGCCTTAGTTAAAATCTTACAGTTTTTGTATCTCAGCTTAGCCTTTTCTTCTGTAAGATAGGTTATGTTATACCTGCCAAGGTTAGAATATTCGCTGCTGTGAATATACTTTGTAAAGGTCAAAAATCATATGATTGCTGTATTTCTATATGGAGTAAGTTGAATTCCGAAAATTTCATCTGTGCTCTTCTTTCTAAAATACCAAGCTCCTTTAAACTAGAAATACTTTAGTTATACCTAATTAACTTTCTTTTTTCAATATTATATCAAAAATATATATTATTGAATTATTATTGACATAATTTCAGTTGTAATAGAAAAAGGTTTTCAGAGCCCCATATAACTGAGCAGATACAATCCATGACATATATGTTAACTGTCTGTATCCAAGGAAAAATAAAACCTCTCTTATGTTTTCATCAAGCAGGAAGTTACAACTTGGAGCAAGCACCTAGGCTAAACTCGCACAGAGACAGGGAGACAGGAAGCCATGTCCAAGATGTCTCCAAGCCCCCAAGAAAGATTTCTGGGATGTAAAACTGGCTTATTTAGGTTCTAAAAAGATTCCCATACGTCTGAAAGAGACAAAGAGGATTTACAGTTCCAAGTTTTCTAAAGGAAATGAAAGAAAAGTGAGGAGAGTAGTTCACTTTCCCTTTTGACCCAGTTTTTTTATTATTTGTATTTACCATTACAAATATAAACTAAAACTTTCCTTTCCTTCTTTTGTTTTTAGGCTCCACTGAATACTCCAGTAACAGAAGACAGATTTGGAATTTTAACAGAGAAATATAGAATTCCTGTGCCAATTCTCCCAGGTAAGGTGTGATCAATATTTGTAGAATCATAGAATTCCATGCCTGGAAGGAATGGAATTTCACCTGGTGAAATCCCTTCTTTTTATAGATGAGAAACATGATACCCAGAGATTTGAAGGACTTACCCAAAGTTATAGAACTAGCTTGTAGTATAACAAGACTAGCACCTAGTTCTTCTGTCTTCCAGTCTAGAAGAATTGAGATAACCTTGTAAGGCAACCCGGAATTTTAATTTAGTGTTGTATAGTTTTTTAAATGTAATGATTAGAACTGTATGCCAAAATTGTAGAAAATAAATGAAATTATGACCATAAGATAAGATATATGTTTACACAGAGATTATACATGATTAGAATTCTTAAATTAAGTATGTTTTTGAGATGGTTTATCAGTAAACTTCAGATTGATAAATTAAGCGTATTTATAGGTCTTCCAATGAATAATCATGGCAATTACATTGTACGCTTGGGACATTTAGTAAGCTGGATGGGAGAACAAGCAGAAGCCCTTGGTGTTGAAATATACCCTGGTTATGCTGCTGCTGAGGTTTGTATAGTTTTATTATGTTTTTAATATTTGTAGGAAGTATTCTCTCTTTCTTTTGAATATAAACAGTTAATGGTACAGAGGTAAATAAATAAGTATTTTAGAAAAGCCATAGAATTTTAGAATTGTAAGATTAGGGGGGAATCTTGGAAAGATCAAATCCAGAGAGTAATTGAATTCTTTATCTTGTTACATATATGATGTCTAACTTACAACTGAACACCATCAGGGATGAAATAATCTCTATCTGACATTTGACATAATACTCTGTCTTGTGTTGAATAAAAATATATCTTCTGTTTTAAACTACATAGAACAAATCAATGCCCTCTTCCAAGGACAGTTTTTCCATTATAATTATGCCCTACTCTCTCCATCCCCACTTTCAGTTTTTTTCTTTCCTAGGCTAAATATTCTCAATTCTTTTAACCATGTTGTTACATATAGTTTGAGTTCCTTTAGTATTCTCAGTGTCACCTGAATTCATTCCCTTTCTATCCTCTTTATAAAGTGGCACCCAAAATGAAAAAAATGACTTCAAGGGGCATCTGGGTGACTCAGTGGTTGAGTGTCTGCCTTTGGCTCAGGTTGTGATCCCAAGGTCCTGGGTTTGAGTTCTGTATCCGGCTCCCCACACGGAGCCTGCTTCTCCCTCTGCCTATGTCTCTGCCTCTCTCTGTGTCTCAAATAAATAAATAAATAAATAAATAAATAAAATCTTTAAAGAAAAAACTACTTCAAGCCTAGTGTAACAGGGCTATTGCCTTCTTCATTCTAGAAACTGTTCTTCTATTAATTCTCTCAAAAATAACTTTTTTGGCAAATGTATCATACTGTTGACTCTCACCAAGTATTATTGGGGAAATGATTAAAAATAATATGTTCTGCCAACCCAGAAAAGTCACCGTTATAAATTACTTTTAAAAGTTTTGTTATTTAATGAGCATCAAACTAAGACTGCAGTGCATATGATAGGAAGTCTGCTAGGGAGGTTGCCAAGACAGAAAGAAATCTCACTCTTGCATAGCCACACATATACAATCCATTACATCCATGTCTTGTCCAGGGGAAAAATAATTGTCTTTGTCCAGGGGAAAAATAAAGTTTCTTGTATCTTCTTGACAAGCAGGAAGTTACAACTTAGAGCCAGGCATCTAGTTCAGACTCCTAGAGACAGGGAAACAGCACACCAGTCTTTTTGGTGTTCACTTTTCAAATATGTCTCTGACACCCTGGGAAACACATTTCTGAGATGCAGATCTAGTGGGAGTCTTAAATAAGACTTTTAAAAACATTGCTATATCCCAGAGAGACAGAGAAAAGATTTACAATAAACTCTTCTAAAGGAAATGATTGGAAAAATTGACAAGAAGGGGTTTTTTTTTTTGTTTGTTTTGGCCTCAGGGGAAATTCAAAAAACCGGTTTTGTTTTTTACCCTTACAATATGTAAGTCAAAACACATAAGTCACTGTATTATACTTGTTGCTATGTTAATTTTTGTTTTCCCAGCTCATATATATGTGCATTTGGGTTTTGGGACACAACTGTAGGGTTTTGCGTTTCTCCTGGTTCGTGACTGGGATCAGTATCAAAATCACAAGTAGGGTGGTTTGTAGAATCTCTGATTTTCACTTTGTGTACACAAACACACACGCACACGTACCATACACACACAATCTCTTATCCTTCTTTTTTTCTCAATCCCTTAAAGATCGTCATCAATAGATTAATGATACGTTGGTCAGGTTTTTTAATTTTCTGAGCCAGACTTAATTATAGTTCAAAGCCACATTCTGCTGTTGATTCATTTTCAGGGTATGAAATAAAAAGTTTCTATTTTTCTTTTCATATCCATTGCTGCTAATCATTGCTTTACCTTTCCACTCCTGTGCTGTCTGCATGATTCTGGTGTATATTTTGTACTTCTATCTAAAGGGCATTTTCCATCACAGAGAAAACAGAAACCAAGTAAGAAAGGTAGAATATTGCTGGTTCTCATTCTCAATTACAATTCAATCCTACTTGCTCCAAAAGTAAATTTAATCACTTTTGGGCTGTCTTGAACCTCTTTCTGTTTTGTTTTGTTGTTTCGTTTTCTTTGATTTTTGTTTTTTGGGATCTTAGCTCATTTGGAACAGAGGCTTCCCTGACCCTGTTGTCTTCCCACCCAACACTGGTTGATGGTCTTCATTTGTTAGAGGCCCTGATTTCAGGGTCTGTATACTTGGTTTTGATGCCTAGTTTCTTCAGGTTATTCTTACTAGTTTCCTTAGTGACCTCTATAGTAGCTTCCTCCTTTACTTCTTCATTAAGGTTGCGGCATTTCTTTCATTTCCAACTGTTTGAGCTGTGTTCTTTTATACTCTAAAAGGGAGTATCTTTAAAACATTTCTTTTTTTGCCTAAACATTTTGATGCTTGTTATGTAATCTAGAGAACATGTTCACTTTCTTAAATATCTAAGGCTGTTTATTGCTTCTTTTTAATGTGGTTATGAATCCTAAGGTGATAACAAAATATGTTTTCATTTTAGGTCCTTTTTCATGAAGATAGTAGTGTAAAAGGAATTGCCACTAATGATGTAGGGATACAAAAGGATGGTGCACCAAAGGTAAACATTTTAACAGTTATGTGTGTAACAAACTGACAACAGAAGAAGGAATCAACTTAAATGCAGTAATTTAGTTTAGCTACAAACTACAGATTAATAAAATGTATGTTAGAATATAACTATTAATGTAGGAATTTTCTCCTGTTAAAAAAAGTATAGAGGCATCTTTGAACTGAAAAGGACTTAGACAAATAGATGTGATATGTTTAAGAATAGTTTTCTTAAAGATAAAAACATGACTAATACAAAAAAAAAAAAAAAAACATGTGACAAAGATTTTATTTCACTCATTAATAAATGACAGAATCAGTAAGATGTTCTAGCCAGTTCGAGGAGAATTCAAAACACATACATATATATAGGTCATCAGTCAACTGCATTGCCACTTCCATAATTTCCATTTCTGTGGACAAGAATCATTTGCATTACTATCAGTAACACTGATAGTCTTTGATATCTTTTTTTTTAATTTTTTTAAATTTATTTATGATAGTCACAGAGAGAGAGAGAGAGAGGCAGAGACATAGGCAGAGGGAGAAGCAAGCTCCATGCACCGGGAGCCCGACGTGGGATTCAATCCCGGGTCTCCAGGATTGCGCCCTGGGCCAACGGCAGGCGCCAAACCGCTGCGCCACCCAGGGATCCCTAGTCTTTGATATCTTTTGGTAAATATAAAACTGATTGCTTTCCTCTCATTCAGATATAATCCTGGATGGTTTTCACATTTTTACAACTTTTATTTTTGAATTTGCGAAAGAAAATCTCTCAGGCTATGGATCTCTCACTGTGCAAGATTCCTCGAAATGAACAAGGAAAAAAAACTCCTTTCTTTCCCATAATAACAGACCAAAACACAAGTTATTATCTCAATAAATTAATTTGTCAACTGATATTTATTTGCTGTTGTCTTAATTTCTCAAATAGATCCTAAGTTCCATGAGGGCAGAGATCATGCAGGGTTACTCAAGTCCCCACCATAGTGCCAGGTGATATCAGATCCTCAATAAATATTTGTTAACTTAGAATTTATCCTTCTCACTGCCATTCCTGAACAGAATGGGGAATTGAGTGTAGAGTCTTCTCCAGCATATTTTCCTGCTTCTCACTGCTTCCTGCTTAGAGATAAGTGGCAAAGCTCTTGAGTCTTACCTACATTGTTCCTCTAAAGGTTTGACTGGTTTCATCAGAATTCTGTAAGGTCTGGGTCTCAGTGTGTCCTAGAGTAGGGTGCAAGAAGCTATTTTTTTAACAAGCCCCCAAAGAATTCTGATACATACCTAGGTTTGCAAACAACTATTATTTCATACTACTATTCATGATAAAAGAATATTGGTTTTCCTATATTCTTTCCTGTATTGTAGTTATTCTTTCCTGTATTGTGATCATTTAATTTTAAACCGTATTTTATTCTTTTAAGGTTTTATATTTAATGTTACAGCAGAACTGAGGCCACAATTTCTGCTATTCTGATATTTCATTTTTTTTGTGTTCTCAAATTTGTTCAAAAGTAAATTTTTCTGTTTGGGGCTTTGTAGTTATAAGAACATCTATTTAATATATTTTTATATAGATATAAAAACAAAAGAATAAAATGGAGTCTTAGTTTTGTGAGCACCTGAATCTAAGTTTTTAAAATAACTGTTTTAGTACCACAGGTTTGGAGTGGGGAGAACCAAGGACTGTGTTTACTCTATTGGTTACAAAGGTGGTGAGAGAAGTCAACTGTGTCAGTGTGTTGGCTTCTCACACCACCTTTGTAACCAAATGTCATGAACATACTATGAAGGCACAAACACAGGTTAATGTCTTTCCACAGCGTCAGCTTTATTCAATCATAAAGCAAAGTTAAATCACAATTGTAAAGCAGGTTCAGGATACCAGACTCAATAACATTTCACCAAGTGAAATGGCTTCTTACACAGCACACAAAGCAGGACAGATGACAAATCACACAACAGACAAGATAACAGAGGGTATAGGAATTTAAGGAACCAAACACAAAGTTTGTGGGCACACAGTTGAGATAAGGCCTTGGTCTGGTCTGGGCCACCTCTCGGCCCATAGTGCTTCTTATGTCCCAGCAACAAAGGATCTCAGTTCTGTTCAGAGATCAGTGGGGCGGAGCCTTTTGGTGGCTGTTGCCTTTTTTAAGTGGTCAGACGTAGGGGGGTCAGATGGGAAGAGTAGGATGGTGTGCTGCCAAAATCCTCCCCTTTTTGAAGTGATTTGATGAGTTTCCCCACAGACCTCCTCTGGTCCTGCTTGTTTTTAGTTCTGGGATGTCAGCTGATGCTGGTCCTGGTGATAGCTCCTCGACGCAGTACCTTAACTATTTGTGTCATTGCTTGACACAGGCTCCTGCTTGACACGAGACTCCATTTTGTTCTCTACACCGAACCAGTGTGTTTGCTGCTTGGTGAAGCACAGATACACCAGGTGGAGTTTTCATACAAAGTAAACTTTATTTGCACCAAATAAGATCATGGGGAATAGCATCCAAGGCCATTACTCCTGAGAGAAGGTGAATGGATACCTCCTTTTTAGAGTTAAAATGAATATTTAGATAGGGATGCCTCATCAGTGTATGTGGAGACATGCCTAATTTTACCTTCTATGTTATGTAAATGAGGCTTAGGCTCCTTCTTGGGTGGAGACTTTAGTATTAACAATGAGGTAAAGGTCACTGCCCATTATTCCAGGAGTGACTCCATGGTCCGTCTGTGTGGACGTGAGTAGGGGGGAATGTTTAGCTCAAAAGCTAACTGCATGTCCATTTGGAAACAAATAGAGTTGGGCCTTTATTTTTTTTTTTAATTCTGAGAATTTCTTAAAACCATAAAAAAAATTGGAAACCTAGATTACAATTACAATCTAAAGGTAGGATAGGCCATCCTATAGAGAAAAGAAATTACAAACCTGTAAGAGACCTTTTTTAAAACTATATAAACATTAAACACTTCTGTTGGGGATCCCTGGGTGGCTCAGTGGTTTAATGCCTGCCTTCGGCCCAGGGCATGATCCTGGAGTCCCAGGATCAAGTCCCACATCAGGCTTCCTGCATGGAGCCTGCTTCTCCCTCTGCCTGTGTCTCTGCCTCCCTCTCTTTCTCTCTCATGAATAAATAAATAAAATATTTTTTAAAAAAGAAACACTTCTGTATACCAAAAGATACTATGAAGTCTATAGATAAGCAGCAGATTGGGGAAAAAGTTTTTGACTACCTGTAATATCAAATAGCACATATATATTAACAAAAAGGCAACGCTTTAGAAAAGTGAGCAAAACCTAAAAAATTGACAATTTACAGAACAAATCCAGGTGACTACTACTTATAAGGAAAGATGTTTAAGTACTTTTTCTTCAGAGTCCACAGTTTAAATGTCATTTCTTCAAAGAAGCCTTTTCAGTTCACCCAATCCATAACAGTTTCCTCCTGTTATTCCCTCTCAACACCTTGTGCTTTCTTTCAGAGCACTTAATCATAATCTGTAATTATATGCTCACGTATTTCTTTAATGTCTACCTCTATGACTGGCCTGAAGGAAAGAGATGTGGCTTTTATTCATCTCTGTATTCCCAATGCCTAGCATAGAACCTGGCACACCATTCATATTTCTTGACTCAAAAACAAAAGTGCTTAAAACAGTAGTCAGGAAAATGCAAATTAAAATAACATTTTTTTACCAAAAATGTAAAATGAACAGTTCTATCTCTCAGTAACTGGACTGTAGGGAAAAGGCTTTTCTTACACACTGCTGGTGGAAAGCAAACTGATAATACCTAGGAAAATAAAAATAGGTGTGCCCTTTTTTTTTTGTTTTTTTAATTTTTTTTAATTTTTTTTATTTATTTATGATAGTCACACAGAGAGAGAGAGAGAGAGAGAGGCAGAGACACAGGCAGAGGGAGAAGCAGGCTCCATGCACCGGGAGCCCGACGTGGGATTCGATCCCAGGTCTCCAGGATCGCGCCCCGGGCCAAAGGCAGGTGCTAGACCGCTGCACCACCCAGGGATCCCTAGGTGTGCCCTTTGATCCAACAGTGCCACTCCGGGGAATCTATCTTACATGGATAAAAGCACAGTAATGTAAGGATATATAAATACAAATACACACACACACACACACACACAGGGTATATATTTTATAACATTGTTTTTGGTCACAAACTGGATGGAAATAGTGAATGGCTATTAAACATTAGCAGAATTGGTGAATAAGCTATGGTATTTTCACATGGACTACTATCCAGCCATTGAAGAGAGAAATATTTGACTCTACAGTGACTTGAAAAGATTTCCGTGAAGTATTATTGAGAAAAGTCAGATGCATTGTGTTTTGTAATCTTATTTTTTGTAAAATAAATCAGGAACCAAAAAAATTTAAGCATATATGTATCTCAGTTGTATGTGTGTTTACATATTTGGGGTAAAAGTGTACATACTAGATTGTTAACATGCTTTATGGATGAGTGAAGTGTAACAAGAGGGAGCAGACAAGAACAAAATAAAAAAGAGTGAAATTAGAGGATGTGTATGCAAGTGTAATATACACCTATGCATATGTATGACAAGCACTGCACAAGAAAAAAGTAGTTACCAATAAATGTGTGAAAGATGTTCAGACTTTGTAGTAATCAAAGTAATTAATACATTAATAATGACATAATTCTATCATTCAGAATGACAATATTTAGCACCAAGTATATTCATCTAAGCAGTGCTTTTTTTTTTTTAAGATTTTATTTATTTATTCATGAGAGACACAGAGAGAGGCAGAGACACAGGCCAGGGAGAAGCAGGCTCCATGCAGGGAGCCTGACGTGGGACTCTATCCCGGGTTTCCAGGATCAAGCCCTGGGCTGAAGGCGGGGCTAAACCGCTGAGCCACCCGGGCTGCCCTAAGCAATGCTTTTTAATAGCAGAACACAGTGGAACAGCTAAAATGTCCCACTACTGAGAATTGTTTGAAAAATTAGGGGAGGGACACGCTGGGTAGCTCAGTGGTCGAGCGTCTGCTTTTGGCTCAGGGCGTGATCCTAGGGTCCTCAATAATATTAATAAAGGAATACGGAATAGACAGGATAGTCTCTTATGAAATATACCTTTTCTGGTATTTCTCTAGGTGTAAGTATAAAACATATAGAGCAAAAGAGAAGTAAAGACTTCAATTGTAGCTTTTTTTTTTCCATTTGGAAACAAAACTCAGTTTTAGAATATGCATTCAGTAATAGAGAAAAAGTAAAATTATAACCAAAGAGTATATTTAGTATGATTCTACGTGTGTTAGAAGTATATAAATAGGCTCTATATAGTTTTTTATTCATGGAAATTTTCTCACATTCATGGGAAAGCTTTTTTTTTTTTTAAGATTTTATTTATTTATTCATGAGAGAGACAGAGAGAGAGAGAGAGAGAGGCAGAGACACAGGCAGAAGGAGGAGCAGGCTCCACGCAGGGAGCCCGACGTGGGACTCAATCCCAGGTCTCCAGGATCACGCCCTGGGCAGAAGGCGGCACCAAACCGCTGAGCCACCCGGGCTGCCCTACAGGAAAGCTATTAATAGTGCCTTTTGATTCAGATGATGGGACTGGAAAACCAGGAGCAGAGGGGAAATGGTTTTTCACTTTTGATTTTATTTTAATTTGTAGAGCATTTTTTTAGCATGAGTGTGCTTTATTTGCTTTTTTAATTCTTATGCACTTAAGCATTCAGATACTTTGGAATTAAAAAAGAAAAATGCAACAGACAGGATATATTATAAAGTTTAGATTCCACTTAACAATAGTTTTATTTCTAGTATTATGTATTTGTACGGTTTCTTCTGTACTTGAATCATAGTTCAATTCAAAAGTGACTAGATGTATTTTTTTTAATTGTCAAATGTTGCAATTTAACATGTTTTTATTTTTTAGACAACGTTTGAGAGGGGACTAGAACTACATGCAAAAGTTACAGTTTTTGCAGAGGGTTGCCATGGACATCTAGCCAAACAACTATATAAGAAGTTTGATTTGAGAGCCAATTGTGATCCTCAAACCTATGGAATTGGACTGAAGGAGGTATCCTGATTTGTTTTTGTAATTTTAATTTTAAACTATGAAGTTTAAACTCATTTGTATTATAGTGTAGTTTGTAACATTGATATAATTTTATAATTCTATTTTTCATCGAAGCGTTCGTTATAATTGAAAATGGGATATTTTTAAGGGGCTAGAAATACGGGGCTAGAAAATATTGCTAATCAAATTCTATTATCTAAGTTGTTTCTACGTGTTATAATTGTTTTATCAAATGTTTCTTGAAATCAAAGTCTAGATTGAAATTATTTTTAATATTTTATATTTTATATTTATATATTTTAATTAATAAGAATTTCTTTTCATTGTAATACCATCTGCCCTAATAAGATTTGACCTGATACCCCTATGCTGTTGTATGGTGACCAATCGTACAAGAATTCTTTCTTCAAAATTGCACTGTGAAAACAGTTTATGAAATATGTACTCATCCATAGCCTATTGATCTGAAATCTAAAATTTAATTAGGTTAAGTATATTTTCTCAGTGTATCCAGTCTCTGTTTCCCAAATCTTAGGCTTACTAGAGTGTAAAAGATTCATTACCTTTTGTTTAAATTTTTTTAGGATAAGGCTCAGAACATTTCCAATTCTGTATATAGCTAGATTGTGAGTAAATCCTTAACTGTTTTTGATAGGTTGCACATCGCACTTATGTGATTTTTAGATAATATTTCAGATGGAAATTGTTTAAAACTTACCCTTTTGAAAATAGATGAACGATTTGTTTCAGTTGGGAAAGGGGGAGTGGAGAAGAGCAAAAGCTATTTTATTGAAGAATAACACATATCCTGGAGAGCAGCAGATCTTAGGTGTACAGCTCAATTAACTTTTATAAGGTGAACACACCCATGGAATCACCACTTAGATCAAGATCTAGAAAATTAGGGACCCCGCCTGGGTGGCTCAGCGGTTGAGTGTCTGCCTTTGACTCAGGGTGTGATCCCAGGATCAAGTCCGGCATCGGGCTCCCTGCATGGAGCCTGCTTCTCTCTCTGTGTCTGTCTCCAATGAAGAAATAAATAAAATCCTAAAAAAAAAAAAAAAAAAAAAAAAATCTAGAACATTACCAGCACCTCAGAAGTTTTCCTCCTCTCTTCAGCAGTGTTCCCTATAATAGTATGAAAGTCTTACCAATCTGAAAATCTAATCAACTTCTGAAAGAATTCATAGCTTTTCTGACCTGTTTTTAGTCCAATTCATCATGCTGCTGTTTGATACAATTTTCTTTGATATGTGAAGTACTTTTGTGTTTCTCTTATTACAGTTTTTCCCTTGACATTTTCATAACTAAGACATAAAACCTGGCAAGTTTGATATATTGTGGTGATAGAAAAAATTTAAATAATACTGTAGGCCTTTTTTTCTTAGTTATGGATTATTGATGAAAAGAAGTGGAAGCCAGGGAGAGTGGATCACACTGTTGGCTGGCCCTTGGACAGACACACTTATGGAGGCTCCTTCCTCTACCACTTAAATGAAGGCGAACCCCTGGTAGCCCTTGGTTTTGTGGTAAGTTACATGGCCATTGTGGAAAACTCTACTGTTTGAGTCCTTGGATCATCAGTGTTATAAAATCCGAAGCATGTAAAATGCTTTTCATTTGAAGATTACTTTCTGATTTTGTCAGTATGTCAAGTGCTTGTGGCCACTACAGACATTGGTCTGTAGTTTCAAACACACATAGCTTTAGTGATGGTAGCTCCTAAATGCCAGACATTATATACCCTATGTTTCATGGAGAATTCTAAATTTTGTAAAAATCCTATGAAGTATGTATATTATTTTACTGACAGGACGCTGAAGTCCAAACAAGTTATATAACTTTCCCAAATATACCCATTAAATGAGAGGCAGGACTCACACCTGAGTCTGTGTGACTTCAAAGCCCATTTTCTACTATGGCATGCTGTCACTAAAAACGAAATCAGCACTGAGTTTGAATCTGTAACTTTTACAGAATGTACACATTTTTTCCCTTTTTGGCCACTTACATCTTTGCAGTAAATTACATTTTGAACATTGCAAGCAATGGAAAAATAAGGGTTTCTGCACCTTGCAGTTTGGTGGCAGCTTTATATTTCAGTGTCATAATTAGACCTGTATATGACACATTATTAAATGTTTGCATTATTGGTATTTTTTTGACACCCAGCCAAGTGTTCAGTTTCTCATCTTTTATCGTTTCTCAAGTGACTTAATTTTTTCAAAGCATAAAAAAAGGTTTGGTTATTAATTTCAGCATTTTGACAGTGCCTTATAAAATGTAACTTCTAATATTTCTTGTCCTCTTTTTTTCTAAGTATGATTACGTTCTTTTTCTTCATTTTTGCCTCAGTAGTATCACATATGCTTATTCTTTACTAGAGCGGGTACTGATAAATGAAAAATAATTACAACTCCTTTTGTAGAAACATAATGTTTAGACCCTTACCTACAAATATTTTTCTAATTTGGGCTTTTATTTACAGAGCACAATGATTTATTAATATATTCTGAGTTTTTAAAGGTTGTCCAGTTATAAATACATGCTATCCTTTTGTTTACCCTTTTTTTCCAAACAGAATTTATTCAGTTATTTATTAAAGTTTGGATTACTGCATATATTTCTCCAAGTACTTTGGATACAAGAAATTTAATGTACATGTTTTCTCATAAATATTGATCACATTTTTGCTCGATTTAATTTGAAATAAGAATATCCAATTGTATAAATTTACCAGATTTAAATATAAAAATTTTTAAGGTCGGTCTAGACTACCAGAATCCATATTTGAGTCCATTCAGAGAGTTCCAGAGGTGGAAACACCATCCTAGCATTCAGCCAACACTGGAAGGTGGAAAAAGGATTGCATATGGAGCCAGAGCCCTGAATGAAGGTGGCTTTCAGGTAACTCGTCCAACTTTTTATTATTTCTTATTCCTGTATTATAAAGTAAACATTGAAAATACAATGAATAAATTTAGATAAAGAATGGAAAATTATCTCATATAAAGAAACTTTAAGCACACCATAGTTAAAATTACACCATGAATTTAGTTTTAAGAATATATTAATTTCTTGAGATAAATGTATAGGCTTTTTGTTGGTTGGTTTTTAACCAGGAAGTTAAACTCCAGTATAGTCAGTAGGACATACAGATTTGTATTTAAAAACATCTGCCTTGTGTGTTTGAACATCTCAGGTGATTTTTTAGATTGGTGGGAAGAGTTGACCACACACACTTTTATTTTTTTTTTAATTTTTATTTATTTTATGATAGTCACAGAGAGAGAGAGAGGCAGAGACATAGGCAGAGGGAGGAGCAGGCTCCATTCACCAGGAGCCCGACGTGGGATTTGATCCCGGGTCTCCAGGATCGCGCCCTGGGCCAAAGGCAAGCGCCAAACTGCTGCGCCACCCAGGGATCCCACACACTCACTTTTAACTAAAATTTTCTGATTTAATTAGTCAAAGATATAGAAATTTATTTCTAGTAAGTTTTTGAAGAACCTTAAACAATAATCTGGAACTTTTGATTTGGTTTATTTTGAGCTAACAACTGTGACATGACTTTTTTCCTTTTTTTAATTTTTAAAATCATACTTGTTTTATGACTGAAGGTTTATACCTCTTAATCCACTTTACATATTTTGCCATCCCCCACTCATCTCTGCTCTGGCACCTGCCAGTTCTCTTTATAAATGAGGCTGTTGATGTGTACATGACTTACTCTTTCTTTCTTTTCTTTTTTTTTTTTTTCTTTCTTTCTTTTCAGTCTATACCAAGACTTAACCTTTTCTGGAGGGTTTCTAATTATTTGTGGTTTAATGAATGTCCCAGAATACATTTCTCAGTGCAGCTTTTTTTCAGTCCATAATTCTGTAACAAGATACCACCTGCCTATACAGGATAGGATCCTCCCAGGATCTAAAAATACATTTTATTCATAGGACTTACACACCAATTTGGAAGAATTTGCACTAGCAGTCCAGGCCTTTTTATTCACAGTTTATTCACAGTCTTCTGGTACTTTAATCAAACAGTGTTAGCAAGGCCACAGCCCTATTTAAGAAACGTGTTGTCATTATCCAAATTCCTAATTATCTCTTTCCAGCTAGTGACATTCTGGAAAGCCCTTCCTTGCTCTTATCTACTCTGTGATCATGATTTCATGCTCTTTTATCTAGGTGGTTTTAATATTGAATTCAGTCCAAGAACCATAATCATAAATTCACTCCCCACATGTACCATGAGAGGACATGACCCCTGATCCATCTTCTCCCAGCATTCCTTCTGCCCTCCAGCTTTGCTTCTCACCACCTCTCCCTCATAGTTAGAATTCTGTAATTGAAGGGAGCTGTGGCCACAGATCCCTCCCTGTGGCTCATGCCACTGACAGCACTGGTTTCCCTGTTTAACCTCCTCCCCTCTGAGCCCGTCAGCACCATCAGCCAAATTCTCTACCACGCACCACTTTCTCAACAAAGACTTGCAGCTTCAGAAAGCCCTTAAAGAGGAAAAAATACAGAAAGAAGAAAGAACACTCAGCATTGGTTTCCTCCTCTTTCCTATTCAAACTATAGATTAGATGACATTTTCCCATGCAGACAATCTAATTTAGCCACTACTTCGTAGGGTAGATATAAACTTTTACTGGCTACCCCCAAAAATACTACCACCTTTTATCAGATTGTTTTTCATGAGAATTATATACTGAGGCCCAAACAACGGTCTTAAAATTCCTTTTGGAAATTCAGCTTATTCTTAAGTTAATTAAAATATATTCTTTAAGGTAGTAGCTAATTGTAATGATGCTAGGATGAGAACTTAAGTTTCCGCCCCTCGATATCAGAGTAAAAAAGAAAAAAAAAAAAAAAACACAGGATTTGTAAATCATGAGTTACTGAGAATGCATGTGAAAGCAGCTTGCAATTTAGATAATAGTTGTTTAGGGAATATTTTTAGACATGGATATGTAAAAATAATAACATTTTATTTAAATATGTTAACACCCTGGTCCTAAACCTGTCTCACATAGGTTAGTCATGGGGAAGAAGAGGAAAAAGTCTTAGAAAAATACTACTAGTTCTAATCTTCATTCTTAGGAAAGGGGGCAAATAACTGCCCTTGCTCTGATTGTTTTCCTTCACATTTCACATTTTTCCCTACAGCCTTAGAAGATTTTAAGAGACTATAATTTGTAGTATTGTTTTGCTTGTTTAATTTGAACTAAAAATGTACTTTGAATGTTTCTTTCCTCAGTCTATACCAAAACTCACCTTTCCTGGTGGTTTACTAATTGGTTGTAGTCCTGGTTTTATGAATGTACCCAAGATCAAAGGTACCCACACAGCAATGAAAAGTGGAATTTTGGCAGCAGAATCTATTTTTAAGCAACTAACTAGTGAAAATCTCCAATCAAAAACAATTGGTAAGAACTTTTTATTTAAAAAGTCAGGTTCTTTATTGAGATATTTAAAAAGAAGCTATTTAAACATACCCTTAGTATATAGGCAGAGGATGAAAATAAATACAGTTAAAAATCTTGAGGCCTCCTTTTGCATATTTCAGTTGACATTAAAAGATCTATCGTTCCCTTTTCACAAAGCATTCAGGTATGTGCTGTGCAAAGAAAACTGTATGATCTAATCTCAGTAGTTAGATTTTTATGGCAGTGTTCTGTTTTATTCACATCAAAAGTAGAGTAGTACCAGTGATGTCCCACCTACTTAAAAATGAGTCTAAGTTTGGTGCGCCTGAGCGGCTCAGTCGGTAGAGCGTGCAGCTCTTGATCTCGGGGTCATGAGTGTGGGTACAGAGATTGCTTAAATAAACTTGAAAAAAATCTTTAGAAAAATTTAAAAAATTGATTTCAGATTTGACAGTATTTGTGTTGGGTTTCAGATGTGTAGTGTACGCACTAGGTACCTCACAAATCCCGAAGGATCTTCAGTCTGAAAACAACAGCTTTGCAGACTGCAGAATCCAGCAGCACCTTTTCCTTTACGGCTTTGCCAGCACAGACCTAGATAGGAGCCCTCTGCCGCGGTGGAGAGGAGCCAACGCTTCTGCCCCCGTGAACCCTTACTCTGTGAAGACGACCCTCTAGTAATTCTCAGTTTTTCTCAAAATAAAAGCCTACGTTTTCTCACTCCTCTGATCCCATCTCTTTTTACTCTCCCTCCCAACCACACTGACTTCTTTCCTGTAAAGAGCATCTCATGGTCCTTACATGGACCAAACCAGTGAATTTGTAACGTACACAGAGCACTCCCAACCCCTTTCCTCCCCACACTGGTTTTTATTCTGTAATATTTACCCCCTTTTGGCACATAATTTACTTATTTATCAGCTTTGTCTCCTGCCTCATGGAAAACTAAGAGAACAAGGGACTTTGTTCACTATGAATCCCAAATATCTGGCACACAGTAGCAACTCAGTAGGTACTTGATAAACTTTATTCCTTAGAATTCCAGATAACAAATATTCCTCCAGGTCAAAGTCTGAAACCTGATGATGCCTTCAAATATCTTTGTGGAAATGGAGGCCATTTGAGGTATGAGAGAGGAAGGAGATAGAGCTTAGAAAAGGCAGGAGTATAATTTTTTGGTGGAACTTTTTTTCTAATTCTGTTGCCACGTCTCTTTCCTTGTTGGGACACAAGCCATACTTCACGCCATGTACTCCTAGTGGCGGCACATCCATTGGTACTGGAGCACAAAGGTCACTAAGACCAGATTGAGGGTTAGAGCCTGAGGGAAAGGGAGTGGTGCCAGAACAGGAAACAGTGGCTGGAAAGTGTAGAGCCTACAGAGTTTCTGAAAATGACTTAAGAACCAGTTTGTCCCATTAAATATTAAACGCATGCACCAAGTTTTGGTGTTGTTATAAATTTCCTAGGGCTGGCACGACAGAGTCCCGCCAGCTGGACAGCATGGAGCAACAGAATTTACTGTGAGTCTCTAGGCTAGCAGTTCAAAATTAAGGTATTGGTAGGACCTTACTCTTTCCTGTCTTCGGTCTTCTCTTCCCTCCCAGCTTCCTGACAGTCTGACATTCCTCTGCTTCCATCTCTCTCCTCTCTGTATCTCATAAGGATGCCAGTCAGTGGATTAAGGACCAACTCTATTCCAATATGACCTCAACTAATTACATCTGCAGTGACCCTGTTCTGACCCATCCTGAGATACTGGGGGTTAGGACTTGAAAATGATGTTTTGGGGGGACAAATTCAACCTGTAACAGGTAGAAGTGTTTCATTTAATCAGTTACAAAAAATTTTTTCACTTTTATAGTTAGCATGAACTCTTTAGCCTTTTCAGGTTCACTGAATTTTGAAACTTAATTTTCCATATTACTAAGTCTAAGAAATCAAATGCCTTACCACCTGTTAACATGTATCAAATGGTTATCTTTTTGGAAAATGCCAACATTTATACATGAAAGAGTCTTCAAATGTGATCTTACAGGACTACTATTTAAATTTAAGATTCATTCATCAAAAAAAAAAAAAAGATATTTCAGTAGCACAATACCTTGATATTTTATACTTAAGGTAATTTGACACAAAACATTTCGTGTTTTTAATAAAAGGACTCCATGTAACTGAGTATGAAGACAATTTAAAGAAATCATGGGTGTGGAAAGAGCTATATACTGTTAGAAATATAAGGCCGTCCTGCCATGGAATACTGGGCGTATATGGCGGGATGATTTACACTGGAATCTTTTACTGGATATTTAGAGGAATGGAGCCATGGACTCTAAAGCACAAAGGTAATTCTGACATATCTGAGTATGACTGTTACAATCCTCACCTACCCCGACTACTCATGAATGGGGGTGCCTGGCTGGCTCATTCAATAGTGTGTGCAACTCTTGATCTTGGGGTCTTGAATTCTAGCCTTACATTGGGGGTAGTTTACTTTAAAAAAAATAATAATTTTTTTAATTTCATGGATGGGATCGATTAATAAAGCGAATTTTTCAATGTTTCAGACTTGTTTTATTAGAGAAATAATAAATTCAGTGTCCATAATTGTGTTATCATTTGCTATAAGGGAACTGAAGTATAATATTCTCAAGTTTTCATAAAAATGCCTGAGAAAATACTTTTACATTCGTGTTACATTTTTGTTCAAAATCTTCCTCAAAACTAAGGTTCTGACTCTGATCAGCTCAAGCCAGCCAAGGACTGCACGCCTATTGAGTATCCAAAACCCGATGGACAGATCAGTTTTGACCTTCTGTCGTCTGTGGCGCTGAGTGGTACTAACCACGAGCATGACCAGCCAGCACACTTAACCTTAAGGGACGACAGTATCCCTGTAAATAGAAATCTGTCCGTATACGATGGACCGGAGCAGCGCTTCTGCCCTGCAGGTCAGTCCTGTGCTTTCCCCCCTCCCTCATACACAGGTGTGTTTTAACCACATTGGAAATAGGCTTCCTTTATTTTAAGAAATTTCTCCTTCCATTGCTTGGAAATTGTAAACAACCCCCCGTATCTAGCTTCCTTTAGAAAACTCATTTTTATGGTTCTTACTCTAGCAACGCTAAGACAATGGGGATTTTTTTTTTTTTTTTTTTTTTTGGTAAGCCTGATTCCGTTGTCATTTCTCAAAAGCCTTTCCTGAGGTGCCTGGGTGGCTCCATCAATCAGGCAACCAACCCTTGATCCCAGGTCAAGTTAAAAAAAAAAGCTTTCCTGTCCACCCTCAGACCAAGATATGGATCATGGAATACTGAATACCTTTCCATGTTCACGACTTAAATCCGTTGTCATGACTGCTCACTCTCTCTCACACACAAAATTATATACTAAAATACTAGGGCACAGCCACATCAGCTCAAAAAATGGTCCCAGACATTAAATTCATCATGAATAGTTTAGCATTTCATGAATCTCAACTAGAACCATAATGGGAACTGGTTCTCCAATGATACTGTAGACTGGCGTGCAGACGTCTGAAGGCCAGCGTGTCCTGGAGGGACGAGTAGAATGTAAGCTCCCTGAGGGTAGGGACCTTGCCGGGCTTTTGTTTTATTTTTGTTTTATTTTTAAATCATTTGTTTTATTTTTAAATCATTTGTCATTACGCTGGTGTGTAAACTCTTTGAAGGATAAGGACTGGAGCTAATTTTTTTCAGTTTCACACACGTAAAATTGGAACTCAAATACTGCTGCACCTTCTGCTTTTCTCGATATTTATACTAATAGCAATAGCACACACCAAGATCTTCGTGATTTTCACGAGTAAACATTCAGAAAACAAACCTTCATGGTTTCTGTAGCTGTTTCCAGGGCTTCAATTTCTAACTTATGAATTTTAAAAGTTAAAATAGGTACTTCACAATATTACTTATTTTTCCTTACAGGAGTTTATGAATTTGTACCTTTGGAACAAGGTGATGGATTTCGGTTACAGATAAATGCTCAGAATTGTGTACACTGTAAAACATGTGATATTAAAGATCCAAGTCAGAATATTAACTGGGTGGTACCCGAAGGTGGTGGAGGACCTGCTTACAATGGAATGTAAACTGCAACTGATTGCATTTGCGGCACGTTTGATCGTTTCCTTAAAATGTATGGCAAGGTAACTTTACATATTTAGAAGTCAACAGGTGTCAAAATAGTTTACCGCGTATTACTCATCAGAATGTTCATAAAATTATCAAGGAAATAAATAAAAACTTTATACCTATAACCTAAATTTGTCCTATAAAAAATTATGAGTATTTCTCCTACATAAAACTTTACAAATGAGGTAACATCTGCTTACCTCTGTGTTTCTTCAAAGATTCAGTACCAGTAGCAAATACACTGCTGGCCTTTAATGCAGATTTGACTTGTCAAATTCAAGAGTTCAGGTATAAAAATGTATATTCTAGGCCAGAGGTCAGCAGGCAGCCCACCACTTTTCTCATGGGTAGTTTTACTGGGACACGAGGACGTCCAATGGCCTACAGACTCTGTGGCTACAACTGCAGAAATGAGTAGTTGTGACAGATGATCATGGTCCACAAAGCCTAAAATATTTTACTGTCTGGCCCTTTGGAGAAAGTTTGCCGACCCCTGAATATCTGTAACAAAACATCAGCAAAAACCAACCAAAGAGAAATACATCAGAGAATTAAGGGAAACAATACAAACTTAAGTCACAATCCTGTTTATTCAACACAATGTGTTGGAACACATTGGATACCATTATTCTTTGTGATTAATGCAAATAGGCATTTAAAAAAAAAATCCACTGTTTCTGTAACACTGTTAAGAGTGAATTCTTTTCAGTATTCTTAAACTGTAAACAATGGGAAACTGAAGTATCAAAGGAAACACATCAGGGATCATACATAACAGACAAAGCCTTTAAATGTTCTTATTGCCTTTATACACAACCAATGCATATTTAAATTTAAGTAAAACCGAGTTTCTTCTTAGGCAAACATTTTTGCATATGCTGCCTTCTCTTTATCTTTCTGTGCCTTTATCTTTTGTTTGACTTTCAGCAATTCTGCCTGGATAGCTGTAAAATAAATATGTAATAGATGTAATAGGAGTTATTTCTCAAAACATCCAAAAAATTAGAATGCCCAACAACTGATGTTTTAGTAGGATAGTTTCTTCCTCCCTGCTGATAAAAACTCTTCTCTGTAACTGAGCTCAATTAAGAACACATTTCACTGACAAAGTAATCACACAAACACAAAAACCACATAATTTTAGAACACTGAGAATTTTAGAACTCTCTCAATCTGAGAAAAGTCTAACTGAATTATATGTAGATTTGCCTTCTGTCTCCCCATTAGAGAAGGCAATTGAGCGCCTCCCCTGTTGTACTTTAGCAGTGAGAGACCAAGACGTATTTCAGTACCTAGATCTCTTATCACTATTGTAGCAGGCGTATTTGAAAAACTAAGTTTTGTCCTAACTTTTCAAAGCTTTCCTAAAATATACATCCAGTAACTAGAATACTTGTATTACGGCCTCATTCTGCTTTAAGGAATGGTCCCAGACATTAAATGTATCATAAATACTGTTAGCTTTTAGTGCTGTGTTTTCAACTACAATTAGTTAATAGGAATCAGATCTCAAATGATACAACAGAAAAACAGTATTTGAACGTGTGAAAAGGAACCAGAATGTAAGCTCGTTGAGGGCAGGGACCCTGACTTGTTGGCTGCAGGAAGGTCAGTGCCAGTAAGTGGCACTCTGTGGTATCTGTTGAACAAATAAGTGGCAAAGGATACAATGGTTCATGACAATAAATTCTTACAAGACAAAATGAATTTTTACCATAAAAACTGCCAACTTACCTTTATCTTCTGGTGCTATCTCCTGTGCTTTCTTAAGATCAGCCTTTAATTGAAAAAAACGTTTAAAGAAATATTAGATATATGATTTAGGAAGATGACTGTAAAGAAATTAAAGTGTAGAACAAAATTTTACCAATGCTTGATCGTATTCTTTTAATCCTTGCCATCCTTGAGCTCTCCGGTACAATGCTTTGGTATTGGATGGATCGATTTCAAGAGCCTACAAAAAATTATATTTTTATCTAAATATTAAATATATGTACTAGATTTCAATTTACTGCCTGTCAGGACATCGACTCTTCACTGCTCTACGGTAAAGGAGCTGGATGGACCCTGTAAATTTCTTCTGCCAGCTGGCACGTTGCATTTTGTCAGTAGAGGGTGCTAGAAGGACCTCGCCGAGAAAAGCTGTTTCTCTCCAGGTTCCAGTGTGCTTCTGAGTCCTGCACTGAGCTTGGTCAACAGCACACAGCAGAGCTCACTGCAGCAGAGATCCCTAAGCACGGTGGCCCGTGAACCTCTCTGCCACCTAGGAAGTCACAGCCATCCCCTCCCCAGTGAGGTCTGGACCTCAGCCCAGGGGCTGTCAAGAGGTTCCTCTTCCGGGGCAGCCCGGGTGGCTCAGCGGTTTAGCACCACCTTCAGCCCAGGGCCTGATCCTGGAGACCCCGGATCAAGTCCCACGTCAGGCTCCCTACCTGGAGCCCGCTTCTCCTTCTGCCTGTGTCTCTGCCTGTGTGTCTGTGTGTGTCATAAATAAAAAAGGTTCCTCTTCCTTGGGGCCTCCATCCTAGCCTAGGGGTGTGACTGCTCTATGTGTATCTGCTTTCCCATATTCTTTAGAATTCTCTTTACTAGCCATTCCCTCATTATTCCAATCCCCTTATTTTATATTAAACTTTCTCTTTTCAAATTACTGTATAGTTTCTTTCTGTCTCCTGATTGGGCCCTACATGATAAAACTATTACGAATCAAAATTTGTTAACACTTTTCTGAAAGATTTCATTTCTTAGAGAAAGAGCATGTGTGCAAGTGCACACAAGGAGGGGGACAGGTGGAAAGGGGAAGCAGGCTCCCCACTGAGGATGGAGCCTGATGTGGGGCTGCATCCCAGGGCCCTGGGATCATGACCCAAGCTGAAGGCAGATGCTTAACCCACTGAGCCACCCAGGTGCCCAGTAATACTCTTACTTGAAACCCACAGGGGTTTTTTTAGGAGCGTAAGTGAAGTTGTAAAGGTCTCTCCTGTGAAATAAACATTTTAGAATGTGTCACATCTTCTAAAGTCGATACTAAGATTTTACTGAAAAAGGTATGTTATCTGCCTCACAAAAGTCAAGAAGAAATCCCGAGGTGAGACCTGTGGCGGGCTCAGTCGGTAGACCACGCGACCCTTCCAGCCCCACGTTGGGTGTGGAGCCTACTTGAAAAGAAATCCAGAGTGAAGACCCACCTTTTCCTTGGGCTAGTTTTCTTCCTCTGCTGCGTGCTCCCTTCTAAGTGTATTCCTCTCCCTTATTCTAGCTATCCTACCAAATGGGATCTCAGGTTTCTTCTTTAATACTAACCTCTCACAAGGGCCTGGAGCTTACAACCTCAAGATGGAGAGTCTGTGCTCTCCCAGCTGAGCCAGCCAGACACAACAGATCTCACGATTTCTACTTGCTCTGGGCACAGGGATTTAATAAGCACACAGTTTCATGTGCAAAATCCATAAAAAGCACTGGGGGTGGTCTTTCTAAATACACTGAAAGTTCAGTTTGGAAAATTCTTCAACTATACAATAGGGAGCGTGTCATAACTGCCCTATTTCAGGAGGTAATGCTGCCACCCATCTGGTTTGATCAGTTAGTCTTCCTGGATGTCCCCAGAGACAGGTGACCCCAACTTGAAGCAGCCTCCCTCCTCGGCCCAATGAAAGATTCCTTAAGTCAGGAGTCTTGGAAAAAACAAACAAACAAAAAAACAAAAAAAAGACAGGAGTCTTGGCGTGCTTGGGTGGCTCAGAGGTTAAGTGTCCACCTTCGGCTCAGGGCGTGATCCCGGAGGCCTGGGATCCAGCCCCCACCCAGGTCCAGGTCGGGCTCCCGGCTCCGTGGGGAGCCTGCTCCTCCCTCTGCCTGCTGTTCCCTTGCTTGTGTTCTGTCAACTAAATCTTTAAAAAAAGGGATCCCTGGGTGGCGCAGCAGTTTGGTGCCTGCCTTTGGCCCAGGGCGCGATCCTGGAGACCCGGGATCGAATCCCACATCGGGCTCCCGGTGCATGGAGCCTGCTTCTCCCTCTGCCTATGTCTCTGCGCCTCTCTCTCTCTCTCTCTCTCTCTGTGACTATCATAAATAAATAAAAATTTAAAAAATAAATAGATAAATAAATCTTTAAAAAAAAAAAGTACGAGTCTTTTAATTAAAACACCTACTCTTTATTAGGTGCTTAACATGTGCCCAACTGTGCTAAATGGTATATATATTATATAATCTTGGTAACAATCCTGTAAGGCAAGTATTATTTTCATTTAATATAAAGGACTTTATAAAATATAAAGTCCTCTAAAATTAGGACTTAACCAAGATCATGAAGTTAGTGACAGCAATCTAACAAAAAAAAAAAAAAAACCACCAAGTCTTTTTTTTTTTTTTAAACACCAGGGCTGACTGGTTCCACAACCCATTTTCTTAATCATTCCTGGCTTTGCCCTCCAGTGCCCAGCACATAACAGGCGCTCAATATGTTCAATGAGTAAATAATGAGCTGACTCATGTGCTCCGAGGGAAAAAGGAAAAGTATCTTCAGAGATATTAAGTTACATAATGTTATCAATTAAATGAATGGATTAACAGGAAGAATTGAAGGCCCAAAAATTTAGAGATAAAATGACTTTTAAGTTATGTTTCAGAGAGTCTCAAGTCCTCTGTAATAAAATATATTAATGTACATAAAGTTGCTTTTGTTCAAGTTGATAAATAATCCAACTCCTTCAAAAAATCTGACGTCGGGACGCCTGGGTGGCTCAGCAGTTGAGCGTCTGTCTTTGGCTCAGGACGTGATCCCAGTTCAGGGATCGAGTCCCACATCGGCCCCCCACAGTGAGCCTGCTTCTCCCTCTGTCTCTGCCTCTCTGTGTGTGTGTGTCTCATGAATAAATTTTTTAAAATCTTAGAAAAAAAAACTGACGTCAAAGAGACTCACCTCCAAACAACTGTCAACTGCTCCCTGCCAATTTGACATCTTCAGTTTACAAGCACCAATATTCAGCACGCAGCTTAAAGCCATAGGTTGCAGCTTCAGTCTATCTGCTTGCTCAGTAACAGCCTTTGAACTTTCCACATATCTGGAAAATACGTGAATAAAGGGAACATATAATGCCACATACAATTTACCCTGCTCCTTCAACTACGTCAAAGTGTTATGTCATTTCTGATCTAAAAAGCTCATCAAATGCTAATATTAGGGGCGCCTGGGTGGCTCAGTCAGTTGAATGTCTGTCTGCCTTTGGCTCAGGTCATGCTCTGAGGTCCCGGGCTAGAGCCCCACGTCGGACTCCCTGCTCGGCAGAGAGCCTGCTGTTTCCTCTCCCTCTGCCACTCTCCCCCTGCTTGTGCACTCGCTATCTCTACCAAATAAGTAAAATCTTAAAAAAAAAAAAAAAAAGAAAAAAGCTGATGTTAATATTCTTAATGATCACGATCATATTATTTTCCTTAAGATTGATTTTCATTTGTTCAAACTTTTTCCCCAAAGCATTCAAAGAAACCAATTTAACAGCATTCACCAAGGACGGCTGCGGGGCTCAGCTGTTGAGCAGCTCCCTTTGGCTCCGGGCTTGATCCTGGAGTTCCAGGATCAAGTCCCACATCATGCTCCCCACAGGGAGCCTGCTTCTCCCTCTGCCTGTGTCTCTTTATTTATTTGTGAGACAGAGAGAGAGAGAGAGGCAGAGGGAGAAGCAGGCTCCCTGCAGGGAGCCTAATGCAGGACTACATCCCAAGACCCCAGGATCACGACCCAAGCCAAAGACAGATGCTCAACCACTGAGCCACCCAGGGGCCCCTACCATTTCCCAATTTTTAAAACTCTGGTCTCTATTATGTATTTTCCAGTGTAATTATGTTTGGGTCAACATTCTCACTGTGGGAGAGGGAACTGGAATGAGGCAAGGCGAAGAACCCTTCAGTGTTGATTCTGAACTGTATTTTAATACAATTCCTAGCTCTGCCCACAGAAAAGGGCCCAGAAATGAGCACACCTGGCCCTCAGAATCTGGTTTCTAAAGTCTATCCCCTAATAAAAAGAACCAGAGCTCCTTGCCATTAATGGATCTGGCAACAAGGTTAAGTAAAAGATGAACCTGAAACACCTTGTGCCAGAAAGCAAACAAGTGCTCGCAGACTAATAGGACACGTCCAATGGATACAGGAAAGGGGGCTTCCACTGGACACATCTGGAATCCTTTGAACATCAAAAAAAAAAAATGATAGTACAATAGATAGACCTTAAAAAATTCAGATATATACAGATCTATATAATGATACTAAAAAGGGGTGGGAGAAGGAAATCCCTTTCAAGCATTAAAATTCCAGATAATAACTGTAGAGTAAGTGATAAAATTAGAAAATCATTATAATAACTGATTCAGGCAAGGATCTTCAATGACGCTAAAATCCAAAGGATGAAAGAAAGCTTAGCAACTAAATATTCACACAACCTCACAAAGTACATTTACAAAAGGGAAAAAGGCAGCTTAGGACACAAGCATCTGGCTGATGCCCCTTTAACCAAGTGCCAAAACTCAAAATAGGTCAAAGTGACATGTGCCTTCAGGATGTGATATCACAGGAAATATTCACCACCAGTGATCTAAGTCCTCTTGCCAAAATATTTAGCCTCAAACTGATCTTGAGGAAGCAATCCAACAAATACAGGCGGCGTTCATAAGACAACCAACCAGAGACTCCACAAGACACAAATGAC